TACAGAGACTCTTTTTCTTCATCTTCTTAAAGCAGTCCCTTTAGCATATTTTGCAATGCTGGTTTGGTGGAGGTATATTCTTTTAGTCTTCTTTTGTTTGGGAAATTCCTTCTTTCGCCTTCCATTTTAATTGAGAGCCTTGTTGGGTAGAGCAGTCTTGGTTGCAGGCCTTTGCTTTTCAGGACTTGGAATATTTCTTGCCATTCCCTTCTGGCTTGCAGAGTTTCTGCTGAGAAGTCAGCTGCCAGCCGTACCAGGGCTTCTTTATATGGGCTACCTGTTTCTCCCTTGCTGCCTTTAGGATTCTCTGTTTGTCTTTGATATTTGCCATTTTAATTGTGATGTGTCTTAGAATGGGCCTCATCGGGTTCCTCTTGAATGGGACCCTCCGTGCTTCCTGGACTTGTGTCAGGCAGGGTCAACATCTGACATCAACAGAGGCAGATCCAGAAAGTAAAAACAGTGGTCTCCTACCATAGAAGTTCACACCACAAAGTCAGGAAATCAAGGTAGATCAATTTAATAAGCCGAAGCAAAAAAGAAGAGTCTCACAAATAATGGGAAGACAAAGAAATACTCCCCAGTCAAAAGGAAAGTAGGAATCCCCAGAAAGAGAACTAAATGAAATAGAGGCAAGTAAATTATCAGATATTGAGTTCCAAACAACGGTTCTAAGGAAGCTCAATCAACTCAGTGAGCTCAGAGAGAATTACAAAAAACTACAGGGCAACTATGAGGAACTTACTGCAAACATTATCAGCATGAAAAAGGACATAGAAACTATCAATAAGAGACAAGAGGAAATGAAGAATACAATTTCTGAATTGAAGAACACAGTAGAAGGAATCTTTTTTTTTTTTTAAAGACTTTATTTATTTATTTTTAGAGAGAAAGGAGGGAGAGAGAAAGAAAGGGAGAGAAACTGTGCAAGGGGAACTTAGATCAGTTGCCTCTCGCACGCCCCCAGCTGGGGACCTGGCCCACAACTCAGCCATGTGCTTCTGCTGGGAATTGAACCGATGAGCTTTCTGTTCCCAGGCTGACGCTCAATCCACTGAGCCACACAGCCAGGGCACAAGTTTTTAATATTAATGATGTCCAATCTATTTTTTCTTCTGTTGTTTGTGCTTTTGGTGTCATAACTAAGAAACCATTGCCAAATCCAAGGTGCTGTAATTTACTCCTACATTTCCTCCTAAGAGTTTTATAATTTTAGTTTTTACATTTAGGTCTTCAATTTGAGTTAATTTCTGTATATAGTGTAAGGTAAGGGTTCAATTTTATTCTTTTGGATGTAAATGTCCATTTGTCTCACCATCATTTGTTGAAGAGATTATTTTTTTCCCCATTGACTGGAGTCAGCATTCTTATAAAAAATCAGTTGACTATACATGTGTGGATTTATTTCTAGACTCCCAATTTTATTCCATTTGTATATATGTCTACCGTTTTGCCAGTATCATACTGTTGAATGTAATTTTTTTCTTTAAATTTTATTTTGTGTTGGTTTCAGGTATATAGTTTATCAATTGGACAATCATATACTTTTCAAAGTGCTCCCTCCATATTTCCAGGACCCAGCTGGCACCATGCATAGTTATCGCAATATTGTTGACTGTATTGTTGCCTATGTTTTCCTTACATCCTATGACTATTTTGTAACTACCAGTATGTGTTGAACGCAATTTTAAGAAGATTTTTGTGGCTCAATTTGGAAAATGGTTATAGAGTGCAGTCACTAGATTCAGGGACCATTGTCAAGAGGGCAATTCCAAAACCTAGCCCCAAGGCAAGGGGGTTGTGCTAGGGCCTGGCAGTGGTAATGGAGACATGAGATGATATTTAGGAACTTACTTGAAGTCAGAATTAGGAGAACTTGGCTAAAATAGATGCAGCAAATGACGAAAAGAGTTGTCAAGGATGATACTGTCTCTGGAACTTACTTGAAGTCAGAATTAGGAGAACTTGGCTAAAATAGATGCAGCAAATGACGAAAAGAGTTGTCAAGGATGATACTGTCTCTGGCTTGATTAAAAGGTGCCAATTCCTTTTAATGGAAGAAAGTAGGGGAGTCCAATTTGGGGAGAAGATAGCAAGTTCTGGTTTGGATCTTCTAGGTCTGAGATGTCCTAGTGCCAGATGTATGAGTATACTGGCATGTGTGTGTGTGCACACATATACTCACATGAGCGCCTAACACATTCCGGGCCCATATATCTGATAAATGTGTTCTCAATGAAGAACCGGAAGATCCACTGATAACTCCTCTTGAGAGGAGTTAGAACCAAGGGGTTAGAATAGTTCACTGAGGTGGAGAAGACGAGATGGGAATCAGTCAATGATTCTTTCAGTCTTGGATGGGATTGGCTGTTTTATGGCTATTCGCTGCCCTCCCCAGCTTTGGGGCCCTAGGGCTTAAGGGCAAAGTCCAAAAGGTAGCAAGTGTTTGTCAAGACAGTAGTGAGTTCCTTTACTTCCCCTGGGTCCCACCCAAACCCCTCAAGAGCCACCAGTTCCAATGTACAATGGCCCATTAGTGGAGGGTAAATGTGGGCTGCCTCAGCCATTGTAAGGCAGCTCTGAAGTCTGCCTTATCTATTGCAGGATAAAGGAGGACCAAACGGACAGCAGAAAGTTGGGGGAGATCTGTTCTTTTCTCATGAAAGAGGGGGGTTAGTCAGGGTTGGGACCTGCGGCTTTCTGCCCAGTGACATGGTATGTGCATCTGCTGCGTCTGAGGGGCACAAATTACTCTCTTCCACAGCCCAGGCCAACTAGGCCTTCCAAAATCTTATTCACTGCTTCAGATGCTTGACCCGACTCATATCTTTTCCTGGTTGAAAATGCCTCTCTTTGAAAACTGTGGTGTGTGGATGCACGTGTGTGTGCAGCTGGAAGGGGTGATCAAGGGAAGATCCAAGGTTTTTTGGAGCCTGAAGCTTTTTATAATTTTCAGTTTCCTCTTTAAGTAAAAGAAGACAAAAATTGTGAATGGAAAGTTACACACAGTCCCTTAAGGGACTGTGCAAGCAAGGAGCCCTGGAATTTTAAATTTCATTAGCTTCAGGGTCAAATTGCTGCTGGTGCTGATGGTTAGTGAACCCTTCCTGCTTCTGAGGCAGGATGCAAAGCTGCGAACAAACTGCTTGCTTGGAATGAAAGTTGCTCCCACTGTGCTCTGCCTTCCTTTCCCCAATGCACAGTGGGCCTCACTCCTCTCTGCCCGCAGTACCTGGCAGAGAGTAATAGAGCAGATAACAATCATTTATAGGAGGACTTAGGTGGGTTATTTGTGCGCAACAAACCTGGGGAGCAGGCTTCATGCTCCCCATATTAGAGATAAGGAGGTGAGGGTCAGAGGGGGAAAGTTGCTTCCCCAAGCTCACTAACACTAATGAGAGGACGAGCTGGGATTTGAACCTGGGACTACATGACTCCAAATCTATGGCCTTTCCAAAACCAAGCTATAAAGATGCACAGCAAAGTTTGTGGAGTAAACGATTTAGTAAATGAGTGCATGAGTGAATAGTAAATGAGTAAGTGAAATCAGCTAGTGAAAGAATGGATGAGAGAATAAAGAAGAGATAAAAAAAATGAAACAACAAGCTTAGTTATTGAACATTTAACGTGTGCCAGGTGCTGTGCTAGACAGTTATGGATCTTATTATCTAGTGAGGACACCAGATATTGTGTGCCAAGAAAGGAGTAGTGGACTAGATGCCTTGGGAACTTACAAGTGGACCTCACCTGGAGGACCTGGAAGGCTTTTAATATTTGAGCTGAAATCTGAAGGGTGAAGCTGTGGGTGTTAGCCAGGGATGAAGGCTGGAGAAAGGGGCGCCTAACTGTGGAAGGTCCAGACCTAACCTAGGAGCCTGGCTCTTTGGAAAAACTCAAAGGAGTTGAGGGATGGTGGAAAGGAGTGGGGAAGGGACTATGGAGAGGCAAGAAGGGTGAAAAGAGAATTGGGGCCAGACATAGAACAGCGTTTTGGATGCTGCTAGGGATTGAGGATGCTGTCCTGAAGACAATGGGAAGCGGTGGAGGGCAGGCAGACAGGTGGTAAAAAGAGATGGTCTTGGCTGCCCTGAAGACCAGTGGGGTAGGTGGCCTTCCTCTCCCTGACCTCCACTTCCTCAAGTGTATAATGCAGCAATAATATCTAACTTCTGGGACTCTCTGTATGTGTATGCCTGACTTGTAGACTTTGCTGAGTAAATATGGAAAAAGCTACTCTTTACCTGGTTTGATCTCCTTCTGTGCCTCTTTCCAGGGGCTCACTCCTGCCTAAGAACACCATGCATGCAGGTGAGCTGTGGTTTAGGTATGGGGGTTGGGAAGGGTGGGGGGACTAGGCAGTTCACCCAGCAGTCAGGTTGCAGGGTTGAGGTGGGCTGTGTTTTTGATGATTGATGCAGCTTCTCCTCTGCATAGCCAGCCCCACCCAGAATAGGCAAACTGTTAGGGACAGTGGGCAGCTCTGCCAAGGCTGCTATGGGAATCTAGGGCCACGGCCATTTGCAGAGTAGTTCCAGCAAGTTAAGGTTTGGCTGGAAGTAGAGTGACCCATAAATAAGTTCCTTCTTCCCTTTTTCTACTTAAGGTGGGAGAGGTTCCTCATTTCTCTAGTATTCGTGGACTTTCTACCATATTCTTGGCACAGTGCTAGGTGCTGGGGATGCCCCGGGGACTAAGATATGCACAGTTTTTGCCAGTGTGGAGCTCATGTCCAGCAGGGGCTAGACTAGAATTGAGTCATTAAAATGAAGTGTGATGAATATTTTGTGGTGGAGGATGGGGCTGGGAAGGTGGGCTGTGCATGGTCATGGAGGACCTTGTAAGTCACACAAGGGCCTCATTTTAAAGACAGTGGGGATCCATGGAAAGATTTTAACAGGTGAGGCATTGCCTTTTCTCTCTCTTAGGACCACTGCAGGGAGCTCAACGATCAGCTGTTGGAGAGAAAGGGGCAGTGGTGTTGAGAGACTTCTAGAACAGGCATGGCTCTGAGTCCAAGGGCTAGTCTGGTCCTCCATGAAGACACAAAGGTGACACCCAGTCTCAACTCCACTGTGGCCCCAGGTTTAGGCTCTGGCACCATCTCTGGGCCAAACCCAGATACAGAACTTATTACTATTCTGAATCCACCCTTGAATCCTGGTTTGGCTCTTGTTCCAGACCTTAATCCAATTCTGAGTCCTGTTTCTGAGCAGGCCCCTGGCCTAGTGTCTGATAACACCCCCAGACCTGTTGAAAGTGGGGCCGTGGCTGCAGCTTCCCTCCAGTTCACCGCTTCTCACTCTGATGAAGCCCTGGGCCTGGATTTGAATCACAACTCAAGGCCTAACTCACAGGGGGCCTCAAACCTCGTTCTGAGCCAGGGCTCTATCGAGGCCCAAGGTCTGAGCTTGGACAACCACTCTGGGTTGAATTCTGAGGGCTTCAACTCCCACCCAAGTATGATTTTTGATTTCGCTCTAAACTCCAATCCCTCCAGGCCTGAATTAAACCCATTTGTAAGGTCCTATTCAAGAGAAGCCCTACTTCTAGGCTCATGTATATCCAGGCCAGGCTCAAAAGCACTTCTTATTCAAGCCTCAAACTCTTCTCTGGATTCCAGCTCCAATCACTTGCTCGGTGTGGGCTCAAGAACTATTTCCAGGTTGGACCTAAATGTGGCTCCAGGTTCTTGTAGGACCCCAATCCCAAACACAAATGAGACCATCACTTTGGCTTCACATAACACCTTTGGGTCTGTTTCAAAAAGAGCCTTCGGTGCATCCTGGAACACAAGTTCCAAAGGAACCATCAATGTGGCTTCAAATAGCAATGTCAAGTCTGATTTGAACATGACCGTCACTCAGGCCTCATGCTTGGCCCTGATTCCTGGCTCCAATGATGATATCAGCCTGCATTCCAGCACCTATGGACCCAACTCCGTCCTTTCTCCACCCTCATGCATGACCTTGATACTGGGCTCCAAGGAGACTCTGAGTCTAGGCTCTAGCCTCATCTTCAGTGACACATCCACCTTGACGCTGAGCAGCCAGCAAGATTGTTCTGAGGACAATGCCACCCACATCGTGCCCCTGGAGGACAATCAGCAGAGCAGGAGCGAGATGACCGGCACTGGGATGGGCCAGACCCCCACTGGCAACACCACAGACAAGGACACCACAGCCTTCCAAAGTGTCCCTGAGCGTGAGTATGGCAAGGGCAACAGCCCTAGAGAGGGCGTTGTCCTGGAAGAACCTTGTATTCAGACTGGTGGGGCAGGGAGGGGAGAGGAAAGGGGAGAGAAAGGGAACATCAATCAGTGGATAACATGCAATATATTAATTATGCACAAAAGATCCAGTGCTCAGCCTCTGCTTGTTGACTGATGTGGGGCAAGCTACTTAATCTCTCTGAACTTCAGTTTCCTTAAGTCTAATATCTCCATATGATAATACTTTTATCATGTCCAAATTACAAGCCAACTAACTATAACTTCCTTTCAAAAGGTATTCCTCTTTCTTTTTTGATAAATTTTAGACCTGGCTTTTCAGGTCAATGGAAAAGACAAGCTCTGGGCTCAGCTCATCTCTATTGAGTGTTTGGGGTCCCTACCTGAGCAAGGCTTTGGGGTTCTATTTGGAACCTGCGCTCACTTCTGATATACAGGTGTTCTGAAAATAATCTCCTATCAGTTTTTAGTGTTGTAAAGCTCTCTCAGTTATTTATATCTCCAAATATTTTTGTTTGTTCATGGTCTAATACTATATTGCAATTAAAAAATTACCATGGTTTTGTAAATATGTATTCTTATCTGGTAGGGTAAGAATCCCTTTAAAAGTTCTCACAATTATTCTGAGGACGGCAGCGTCCAAACCATGCTCTGGAATCTATTAGTAAGCCCTCATTCTTCCATACACATTTTAATTTATTTTATTTTATTTTTTATTTTTATTTATTTATTTTTTAAGATTTTATTTATTTACTTTTAGAGAGAGGGGAAAGGAAGGAGAAAGAAAGGGAGAGAAACACCAGTGTGAGAGAGACATCAATTGGTTGTCTCTCGCACGCCCCCAGCTGGGGACCTGGCCCACGACCCAGGCATGTGCCCTGACTGGGAATTGAACTGGCAACCTTTTGGTTCACAGGCCAGTCAATCCACTGAGCCACACCAGCCAGGACCCATATACATTTTAGAATATGTTTCTCTAGGTCTTCAGACACTCTTGCTGGCATTTTTATTGGAATGCTATTAATTTATTCATCTATTAAAGTTTTCCTTTATATAGGGTATAGCGTTTACTAGAATTAAAAAAATTCTCCATCAAGATCAATTGCATTTTTTCATAAGTTAATTCCTATGTACTTTATAGTTTTTATTGCTATCATGAATCATATCTTATTTTCTAATACAATTCCTATTTTGTACTGGTGATGCTTGATGATGTAGAGGAATTTTGTTTTTGCATGTTGAACTTCTTAAAAAGCAGCTTTATTGAGATATAATTTACATACCATAAAATTTCTCCACTTTAAGTGTACAATTTAATGGTATTAAAATATACACAGAATTGTGCAACCATCACCATAATCAATTTTAGAACATTTTCTTTGTTTAAAAAAGATTTTATTTTATTTACTTTTAGAGAGAGGGGGAGGGAGGGAGAAAGAGAAGAAGAGAAACGTTAATGTGCCAGAGAAACATTGATCAGCTCTCTCCCAATCTGGGACCTGGCCCACAATCCAGGCAAGTGCCTTGACTGGTAACAGAGCCAGTGAACTTTTGGTTCACAGGCTGGCACTCAATCCACTGAGCCACACCAGCCAGGGTAATTTTAGAACATTTTCATCACCATTATCACCCAGCTTTAGGCAACCTCTAATCTATTTTTTGTATAGATTGGCCTGTTTTGGACATTTCATATAAATATATGGTCCTTTGTGATTGGAACACTTTAATCTCACTTAGTTCCTTCCCCCCAATTTATATGCTATCCTGGTAATACATATTCATTATTTTCTTAACCTATAAACATTATTATTATTTTATGTAATTAACGTTCTTATATTTACCCAAATATTAACCTCTTTTACTTCATTGCTTATTGCATCTCAGACCTTCCATCTGGTATTGATTTCCTTTTGCTTGAAGTATATACTTTAGAATTTCCTTTAGTGAATACTGCTGATGGTAAACATTGATCACTTTTGTCTGAAAAAATGCCTCTAGTTCTCCTTCATTCATTTTTTAAAATGTTAAAACAATGAAAACTTGCAGAAAAATTGAAAGCACAGTATAAAAACGTTTTTTTGTGAATAATTTGATTAAGTTGCCAAATGATGCCTCTGACCTCTGAATTTTAGTTTTTATTTCTTACAAAAAGGGACAAAAGTTAACCATCAAAATCATGAAATCAATATAAATACACTGTTACCATCTAATATCCAGACCCCATTCAAATGTCACTGATTGTCTCAGTAACGGTTTTCTAGAAAAAAAGATCCAGCTCAGAGTCACTCGTTGCCTTTTTTTGTCTAGTCTGTTTTGTTTCCTCAGTCCTCAGGCTTTCCTTGACTTTCATGTTCTTTTTTTTTTTTTTTTTCCTTAACTAGTCCTTTAATGAGGTGTCAGGCCAAGGGGGCAGCAGCTGACCAGAGCTCAGGGCCTGGAGGGCAGTCACCCATGGCTTCCTTTCCTCACTTCAGGAAGCCTATTTTTCCCTCCAAAGCTGAGGAAGTCTGGGAGGCCGGCTTCGCAGTCTTGTCGATGGTTTTCTGGGTATACTTGGCCTCCTCGTCCATGGCTGCCCCCTGGGCAACCCTTTCCACTTGCTGCTTCAGGTCCTGCAAGCCCTTGCTGGCTATGGCGGCAGGGGGCCTGTGAGGCGTCAAGGGTAGTCCTAGTGACATTGGATCTTCTGACTTTCATGTTCTTGATGCATTCGAAGATTACAGGTCAGCTATTTTGTAAGTTGTGCCTCAGTTTGGGTTTGCTTGCTGTTTCCTCAGGATCACATTCATGCCATGTACCAAGGGCAGGAAGAGCTTGGAAGCGACGCTGGCCCTTTCTCATTGCATCCTATCTGGTGGTATACGATTTGTGTTGGTCCCGTTGTGGATGATGTTCACGTCAATCACTTGAGTGAGATGATTGCTGCCGAGGTTCACCGCTGTAAAGTCACTATTTACCCCTTTGTAATAGTCTATGAGGAGGTTTTCTGAAACTATGTAAATATCCCATTCCTCATCATACTTTCTATTGATTCATTTATTTATTTATTTATATTAGTGTGGAGTTCTCTTGTTTTCTGGCACAAGATGTCTCTTTGTTGTATTCTGGCTCATCTTAAACTTTTCCTGCCCAATTCCTACAATCAGCCCAAGGAGCCTTGTCCCTTTTAGTGGAGAATGATACTTAGAAGCCAAGATCTTGGTGCTAGCTGTATTCACTACTATTGGGATATATCTACTTCTCCCTATGGGCTCCATCCTCCAGCAGCCTCTGGTGGCCAAGATGGCCCTGAATTCCAGGCTCTCATAGGTCCTCGGAAGGAGAGAGATGCACTTCCTTAAATAAAGAGCTCTGTTGTCCTGCTCACCCAAGAGCCCATCCCTGGACCAATCACTATGGCTGTGGGTACAGTGCTGTTCATTGGTCAAGCTTGGGTTGCAGGCCCATCCCTATTTGAAGACGGGTGACTGGTGGGGCTTGAAGAATTCATCTTCACCTAGCCACATGGAATGGGTGACCCACAGGGGAGACAGAAACTCTTTTACCAAAAGAAAGAGGAACAAACCTGGGGCTGACAAAAGAGCAGGCATCTACTATAACAAATAAGAGTTTAATTGTAAATTGTGATTATGGTTGAAAAAAGAGAGTAAGAGGATGCACAAGAGGATCACAGTGGGTCCCCCATTAGCCTGAAGGTCAGGGGAGGCCTCTTTGAGGAGTAGCAGGCGAGCTTAGACCTGATGGGAAGGGTATAGGACCTGGGCAAGGGGGTGTGGCAGTCAATTGGCCCAGGTAGAGGAAACTGCCTGCGCAGAGGCCCTGGGCCTGGAAGCTTGTCTGGCCAGAGTGGCCAGAGCACGGTGAGTGAGGGAGAGCAGCGAGGGTGAGGCTGGGGCTGGGGTGGGGCAGGCTGACCTGGCAGGGCCTTGAAGGCCCTGACATGGATGCCGACTTTATGCTCAGTGCAATGGGGTGCCACTGGGGGTTAGGGAAGGGTGCTCACTCAGGCTGCCGGGGGAGTAAGGGTTGGAGAACCCAGCTGGGGAGGTGAGATGGGACCATGGCGCCCTAGGTATACGGTATCTTTCTACCCTTCTCTCCTCATTGAAACTGTGACATACAGGAGCCTTTGATGAAGTGGACTCATGCCTGGTGAACGTGCCAGGGAAGGGAGAGGATGGCAACAAAATGACCCTGGTATGCTTCCTGCCCAACCAACAGCTGACTTCCTGGGGTGCCCCCTCCCCTCCGCTCCCCAGCCCCACTCACCAGCCCCAGCCCCAGCCCCAGTATTCTCCATTTCTCTGCCTGGCTCCTCTTTTCTCCATGGTGCTCATCATCATCTGATGCACAGTATGCTTTACTCAGTATGCTTTACTTCTTCTTTTTTTTTTTTTTTAAGATTTTATTTATTTATGTTTTTTTGGGGGGAGAAGGGAAGGAGAAAGAGAGGGAGAGAAACATCAGTGTGTGGTTGCCTCTCACACGCCCCCTACTGGGGACTGGGCCTGCAACCCAGGCAGGTGCTCTGGCTGGGAATGGAACTGGAGACCTTTTGGTTCGCAGGCCAGGACTCAATCCACGAGCCACACCAGCCAAGGTGCATGCTTTACTTCTTCATCTTACTTCTTATTAGTCTTTCTCACTATAATGTATTTCCTGCAAATCAGGGATTTCCATCTGTCTTATTCACAGCCGTATTCCCAGCAGGTACAGTGGTGTCTGGCACATCATAGGTGCTCAGTAAGTTTTCTAGACAATAAATGAATTATGAGAGGGTCTCTAAAGGAGAGAGAAAGGCTGAGGATGGCCTGTTTCAGGATATAGGCCTGATCCAGGCCTTGGCTACGCACTGGGCCTTGGGAGGCCAGAGAAAGCCAGCGTCTGCAGGGCTTTTTGAGGGTTAGTGGGGGCAGACTGGACAGGCGGGTGAACGCGAGTGTGACACACAGAGCAAGGGCAAGGCCGGCTGGTGAACAGGCTGGAGGTAAGGGACCCACCCAGGCCAGCACTCCTGGAGGAGGGAGGCCCTGCCCTGCCCTCGGGCTGCTTCAGACGCCGGCTCAGAGCAGCGTGAGGGTGGGGGTGGGGAGAAGGTGACAGTGCCAAGAAGAGGTCTTGCCTTTTGGGAGCATCTGTTTGTACCCCATGGCATTCTTCCAGTTGTCCACCTTGCTCTTGCCACGCTAGCCTTTTTCTGTTTCTTACACATGCCAAACTCATTCTCACCTCAGGGCCTTTGCACTTGTTACTTCTGCCAGGAAATCTCTTTTCATCTATAACATAGACATAATAAAGTTGAAGTGAGGTCTATGTTACATAATGTATGCACAGCCATAAGGTATGGTCCCTGCACAGAAAGAGTTTGTCACTGCAATAGCTCAACAAATTTAACTGAGCCCCTACTATGTGCAAGGCACTGCTTCAGGCACTAGAGATACAATAGTGAAATGATGTTCTAGTTTGGGGAGACAGACCCTCCTTCTAGTTTTTCACATGGCCACCTCTTTCCTGTCCTTCAGGACTTGGCCTAAATATTTTCTCCTCTGAGAGGCTTTCCTGGACCATTCACTCTAAGTGAGCCATCCCTCTCCCACCACTTCAGCAGCTGAAGTTATCAATTGCTATTTAACAAACTGCCCCCAAACTTAGTGGTTTAAAAGTTCACTCTGACAGCTGGGGAGGTAAGGATGGAAAGAGCCCAATTTCTCACGATTCTAAAATTTGGGCTCAGCAGATGGTTCTTCTGCTCTGAGTGGTATAGTCAGAGGTCACTAGGGGTGGGGGGCTGGAACACCCAAGAGAACCCCATCTCCCCAGGCTCTGTCCATGTGGTGTCACGATTCCATGGCCACTGGGTTCCAGAGGGGAAGAACTGCCAGTTCCTTTAAGGGTTAGGCCAGAAACTGCACAGCATCATTTGGATAAACTTCTATTGGTCCAAACAAGTGGTGCGATGAGCCCCGAGTCAAGGGCCATCTGTCCTCTTGATAGGAAGAGTGGGAAGGAGCTCGTGGCATCTTTAACCCACCACACTGTCCATCTGATTACCTTGTTTTACTTTCTTTACTATATGAATTTATATTATCTATTGTTTTATTTATTTCATGCTTTTTCCTTCTTCTGCCTTAAGGTAAGGAGAATGATTTTTTTTCTTAAAGATTTTTAATTTTTATTTTTTTAGAGAAGGGAGGGAGAAAAACCTCAAAGTGTGGTTGCATTTTGTGAGAGCCCCCTGCTGGGGACCTGGCCTGCAGCCCAGGCACGTGCCCTGCACTGGGAATTGAATCGGCAACCCTTTGGTTCACAGGCTGGTGCTCAATCCACTGAGCCACACCAGCCAGGGCGAGAATGAATAGATTAATTGGAAATTAGTTAATGTGTTCCCCTTCTCAGGTAGCAGAGCACCTTAATTTTACTAGGATGTGCCCTTAAGAAGGGTAGATACTGAAGGCCCTTAAGAAGTATCACTAATGGTGAGATTTCAACTTAAAATGTTAGGATCCTTTCTGTCCCCCGCAGCTGCTGCTCCTTCTCCCTTAATCGACTGGCAAAGGGGGAGAGTTTTGCAGTCCCTGATAACTCTCTGTCCTTCTCCAAATGCTGGACTTCAAGGATTATCCACACCCCTACCCCTTGTCACCTCCTCAAATCTCACCCCGCCACCCCAGAGGTTCCCCTTGTGGTTTCTCTTTTCTCTTGAGCGATGCTCTGGCGGGCAGCTGGGGAGGAGCAGGCTGACGTGCCTGCAGGTGGCTGGCAGCTAATGCAGGAGCCGGTGCAGGGACAGCCCCTGAAAGCTGGGTTCGGTGCGGCTCTCACCCTGTGGCTTTGCCTTCTGCTGCCCCTGAGGTCGAGAATGCCATCACCCTCCAGAAGAGCCAGGATATGCTGGAAGATGAAGGAAAGAAGAAGACCATGGTGAAGAAGATGATGGTGCGGGAGCCACATCTGGTCTGTGGCATTGGGAAGGGGGGAGCGGAAGTCCTGAGTCTACCCACTGATGACATGGGGGTCTGTGGGGCAGCAGGGAGAGGACATGAGAGGAGGCAGGACACCTGGACTTGAGTCTCAGCCTCACCTCCAACTGCCCTCTGCATATATAGAGGGAGCCCAGGCAAGTCATTTCCCTTCTCTGAGCCTCACTCTTCTCATCTGTGATAATGCCTGCTGTGTCACTCTTTGTTGGGAGAATACAACCCAATGGTTAGTTCACTGTAAAGCATTATGTATCCGGGAGCAGTTGTTAAACTATTGAACACCAAAAATTACTCCTGGTGGGGAATTTCCTTATTGTTTTGCTAAATACTGTCATTTTCTCAGTTATCTACCAGGATGTGTTGGGTGGGGATAACCAGTGAAGTTTCCAAAATTGTACCTAGCTTTGGGTCCCTTGAAGAGAGAAAACATCCTTGTCCTTGATACCTTCATTTAACTAACTTTAATCGAGCACCTATTGTGTGTAGGTACTAGATCAAAATTGAGAAGTAATTAGAAGAACATTTAAAAAATTTATTTATTTATATAGACAGAGGGGGAAGGGAGGAGAAAGAAGGGGAGAGAAACATCTGGGGACCTGGCCCACCACCCAGACATGTGCCCTGACTGGGAATCGAACCAGTGACCTTTCAGTTCGCAGGCCAGTGCTCAGTGCACTGAGCCACACCAGCCAGGGCAGAAGAACATTTTTAAAGAAATTCAACTAGATTTCTTTTGAGGGCCCTTCCTGGTGTTTTTGCTTTGGGCCAGCCAATGGTTTAAATAAACCTCCCCACCAGGAGGCTTCAGAACAGTTCTTGCTGAGCCCCACTTGAGGAGTGCAGCGGGTTAGTGCGTGGGGTGTTTCGGTGGCTTTGAACTGAGGCTCCAGACAGGTTTGAGCAGTGAGCTGGCTCCCCGCCGCTGGAGGCCTGACAGGGCTTGGAGTGCTGCTGTAACCTGCTCCTGGAGGGACAGCCTCCGGCCTGGTGGTCTGCCCCTACCTGCCCCTCTCATCGGCCCTTCTGTGGTGCCCTGTCCAGAGGCAGATCCAGGAGGAGCCGCTGGATTCCCTCTCCAGCCCCGTCCGCCAGGAGGCCATGGAGACCCTGACGCAGCTGAGGTGTCCACATTCCCTCCCTGACCCCCATCCCTTTTTTTCTCCCCATGGGCTCTGCCTTTCTCTTCTGGGGTCTCCCTGCTGTGCCCCAACCCCACTCCCTTCTCCTCTCCCCTTGCCCAGGCCCTGCCAGGGCTGTCTGCCCTCCACGCCCACTTCCCTCTGCCCCTCCCCCCCACCTCATCTCACCTTTTGAGGATCTGAATATCAGGCCCACCCTGGACCCCCATCGAGGTGCCCCACCCCAGCCCTGCATTCATAGCTCCAACTTCCGGCCAGAGGGCCCTCTCCCTCACTCCATGCCTTCTCTGTCTCCTCACCAGTCACACCCAGCCTGTCCTGGGTGTTCGGGAAAGGTCAGAGCTGGTGAACGCGTGTGTGAAGAGTGTGTTCTCCCTGCCCTCTGTGCAGGCCATGCAGGAGAAAGACGAGGCCAAGGCTGAGACCATCCAGGTGAGCAGTGCCCTCCCCAGCGGGTCCTTGGGCCGTCCAGGGTCCTCAGACTGAGGTGTGTTGTAGGACTCAGCAGGGAAGAAAGGGGGGCTCAAGCTGGAAGGCCTCAGGCAATTTGCTGACCCTCTCTTGGCCTGAGAGGGATATGTGGTTAATGAATGAATCTTTGGAATAGGGATCAATCCCTCTTCTGCAGGGTTCTATTTACTTCTGAGCCGATGCTGGCATGGCCAGAGGCGGTGGCCAGGATTAAGTGAGAGGAGGAGGGCTGAGGACTGGAGAAGTAGAACCTCGAGCTCACTCTCATGAACACCCCTAAACGTCTGCAGTTGTCCTAGGTGGAGTGGTCAGAGGTGACCCTTAGTGTAGGGTGAAGGGTCAACAGTGGAAGTTAGAGGAGTGGTGTTTCAGCTCCGGGTAAGGCTCATCCGGTCACCTAAAATTAACTGAGGGCCTACTCCAGAGGCACAGGGGTGAGATACAGTAGGGACAAGGGCAGGGGGCAGATAGACAGTATCAGAGAATCATTCAATTAATGCAAAACTACAGCACTGGTAAATGTTGCAAGCAAGAAGTACTTGGTGCTGTAAAGAGCCTGGAATGAGAGGACCTGGCCTAGATGGGGATCAGGGGTCATGGCGCTAGAGCTGAGAGGTTAAAAAAGCTAATTAGCTGAAGGGAATGGGGCTGGCAGGTGGAAAAGCATGCCAGGCACAGGGAACAGCCTGTGCAGAAGCCTGAGGATGGAGGGAACATGGTGACTGCAAGGATGACACTGGGGCAGTGTGGCTGGAGCCCAGGGTCAGGTGAGAATGCTGGAAAGTGAGGCTAGAGAGCTGTGGGGGCAGACCACGTGGCAGTAGTAGAGCCCTGGGTTGCGGGAGTGGTGCACTGAGAGAAGACCCAAAGGAAGGGTGGGGAACCCTCGTTTTGGCAGGGCAAGACAGAAGCTCTCTTGTAGTAATGGGTCCAGCCAGCAGAGGTCAGTGCTGCACAGTGATGGGCTTCAGATGAGAGGAAAGGAGGAGGTAACTGGAGAGTGAGGTTTGTTGGGTGGCTGTGGTGTAACCCTGGTGTGAACAGACTCAGGAGACCCAGAAAATAACAATGTGAGAGGCAGATGTGGGGAGCTGACAGACAAGGGAAGGCAGAGGAGAGAGGATCTTTCCACAGTGGCTCAAACCCACTGCTCAGCCTTGTGTATGTGTAATGCCTACACCTTCCTAAAGCAATTTCAGGACTGTGGTGTGGTTGGTGGGGGAGGAGTCTGGGTAGGGGGGAGATGGCTCCCTGAAGAGGCAACTTGGAAAATATATTTAGGTCTAGGAGTAGCAGTTAAAAAAAAAAAATCAGAACACTTCCCTAGAGACAATAATAGAAGTTTACCTAGTTCTTACAGTTCTAGAGCATTTTCCCACCCACACTCTCATTTGTTGCTTACTTGGCCTATGGTAGATTCTCAGCAAATGTGCGTGTCTGCTTCCTTCCCCTATGAGGTAAAAAGTGCAGGGATAATAATTACCAATTTGTCGAGTAGGAGACTAACCCGTGCAGGGTAAGTGATATGCCCATTGTCATGCATCAAGTTAGTCTCAGGGGTGGGACTAGAAAGCAGCTTTCCTGGGTCCATACAAGGGATTGCCTGGGGCTAGGGTCTGCTCCAGAGCCTCCTGGTGGCTTGGTCCTTCTCCTGTCCACAGACACTTTACCGTCAGACCTTGGATGCCCTGCAGACGCTGCTCAACTCTCTCTGTGTTGAGGACCCCACTCCTGCTGGGCTGAAGAGCATTTTGGAGGTGTGGGGACAGGGAGGAGAGGAAGGGTAGAGGAGAAAGGAGGATTTGCTCAGGAGCAGTGTGGTGGGGGCAGTGGTTAGGGGGATTGTGATGGGGGGCTGGACCCAGAGGGAGTGATCTGATTTCACAATGTGATCTTGTGCCAATGTTCTGCCTCCCTGTCCTTACAGTCCCTGTCCCAGACTCCTGCCTCTTCACTCTCTCCCTATCCTCCATACTCCTGCTGTAGCTGTCCCCATTATTTTTGCTCTCTTTTTTCTCGCCTCTGTCTTTCTCTTTGAGCATCATGATTCTCCATCTTTCATCTCTCTCCTCATTGACCCCCCTCTTTGGTCTTTCAGTCCTATTCTCAGCTTCTGGACCCCATGACTCCCTATGCTCCAAGAATAAGAGAGGAACTGTGGGGAGTGGTCTTTACACTTTCCCCAGAAGCTGATTAGTGAAGGTTGGCCCGCCTGCCCAGGCAGTAGAGGCTGGCAGCCTGTAGCTCTGAGTCTAACTCTTGTCCTCACAGCCCCTGGGGCCATGGATGAACTCTGGAAAGGCTCATGAACGAGCACGTGCTGTGAACAGCAATGTCTCCGTGTTGAACCACATGCTTCTCACCCTGCCTTTCCTTGTGAGTGGCTCCTGGGACGCAGGGTAGGGGTGGTGGTGGTGGCATTCCTAGGAGGAATCTTTCCAGCTCTGAGAGAGCCTGTGCATCTGCCCAGAGATTCCCAGGTGGCCCTCATCATCCTCAGAGGGTTCTGTTATCAGGGATAGACATTCTAACACTATTCACCATTTACTGTATAGCACTATTGAACCTATAAGACTCAATCCCTAAGATTACAACACAAACAGATGTCTTCGGGATTCCCGGCACCGGGGCTTCTGCTGGGGAGACTCACCCTTCGCATCGGGGATCCTGATGAGGAAATTGGCCGGGAGGCTCTGGAAGGCATCACCATCCTCTACACTCTCCTGGAGCTCCAAAAACGTAAGCCTGGAGCACCTCTGAAGCAAGGCTTCTGAGCAGGCAGTGAGCCAGGCACTTGAACGAAGCATTAGCAACAAGGGACTGGTGGGAGATGGTGGAGACCAGCAAAGGGTCTGATGGGGTCTGCAGAGGTACAAAGACTTAGTTCCCACAGGACCAAGGGACAAACAAACCTATTTTGATTTAAGCAATCCTTCTATTTAAATTTTTCCTCATCCTTCCAAGTTTAATTTGTGACTTTCATTTTCACATTCCCATGGAACCATGTATACCCAGGAATGATGGCCCTAACCTCTTGTTTCCTGGTCTGTCTTCCCCACTAGACTATAACCTCATTTGAGGGCAGGGCAAGGCTGTGCCTTGTTCACCACTGAATCCCTAAGGGCTAGCCATGGGCCAGGCACAAGGTGTGTGCTCAGTGAATATTGAATGAATGAACAAAGAACAAATTCAATCTTAGAAGCGTAGTGGTTCAAACCTGTAGGTGGAGAACATCCTTGGGTTGTTCTTCAGGAAGCTAGTGATGCAGCATGGGCTGACACAGGTACCCAGACGGCACTGCCCCTAGAGATGAACAATATCACCTATTACTTGCATCCTTCTTTTTTCTATAACCCCAACACTGCCCCAAAACAAGGGACCTTGGCATGTTGTTTAAACTTCCCTGGTTCTGGAAGCAGAGTGATCTAGGTACAAGACCTGGCTCTGGCCCTTCCTAGCTAGGTAACCTCAGGCAGGTACTTTTCTTGTCCAGGTCTAGATTTATTCACCTGTAAAAAAGGGTACCATAGCATGTAACTCACACGCTTTTTGAACGATTAAATAAGATCATGTATTTAAAGAGACCAGCTTAGTACCACACATTATAGACACTTGTCAAATAGAGTTTTTCTTTTCTCCATGCCTACAATGATGATCTTATTAGTTTTAGCCTTTTGGGATTTATCTGGTGTCCCTGCTTTTCTTGACTTCTAGCATTTGGGACAAAGGTTTGGCCCCTGGGAGATTTCTCCTGCTGCTCAGAAACCACTCAGACCTTTTGAGTGATGGGTGGAGGTGATACGTCATGTTTAGCATCAGCCTTAAGGTCAGGAATAGCATAGACCAAATTAGTATTGCTAGATTTAGTAAATAAAAATAAGAACACTCAGTTAAATGAGAACTTCTGATAAACAATGAATAATTTGATTGAAAATTATATATTTGAGACATACTTTCACTAAAAATTATTTGTTTACCTGAAATTCACATTTAACTCGTTATCCTGTATTTTATCTGGCAACCCTAGGCCAAACCCACTTGTTAGATTCTCCAGGAGAAAAGCGGTTTTTTCGGGTCCCTGACTGTAGGAAGCCGCAAAGCTAGGATATGAACCTGCATTTGCCTGATTCCAGGTCTCAAGCTCCTTCCCTTTACAAAAAAACCCGCACACTTCGTCCATGTGGTCACTCCACCTGATGGACCTTTCTTATGCCCAGGTCTTGCCTACGCTGGGAGATCCGGGGGGACCCAGGCCAGGCCACAGTAAGGGCTCAGGAAATGCAGCTGAAATGTGTTTCCTTCAATAGAAAATACAGAGCCATCATGTACCAGATACTATTCTAGGCCCTGGGACACAGCAGCGAAGACATAAATATAGGGTTAATTAATTAAATAATCCCTCCTGTGGAGCTTACCTTCCTGTTGTCAAGAGACAATGAAATAAAAAAGTAATACCTATAGTAAGTCAGATAATGATGAATCCTGAAGGGAATAAAAAGCCGAAAAGGGGGATTGGAAATGCCAGGGGTAGGGGGATTGCCGATTAAAAGAGGTATTGCCACACACCTACCAGAATGGCCCAAAGGAAACAGACAGGGCTCCATGCTGGTGAGATGTGAAGCCACTGGAACTCTCGTGCACTGCTGGTGGGAGCATGACTGGTCTCCGCTGTGGGAAACTGTTTGTCAGTATCCGCTGAAGCTGAATCTCTGCCTGCCCTAGGACATGGCAGTTCCTCTCCTAGCTAAGCACCTAACAAATGTGTACATATGTCCACCAAAAAGCAGGGACTAGGCATATTGGAATGTTTATAGCAGCACTATGCATAATAGCTGGAAACAAGCCAAATGTCCATCGGAAGTAGAACAGATGCATAAATTGTAATATATTCATTCCATGGAAAATTATGCAGCACTGAGAATGAACGCAGCAATGCTACTTGCAACAGGGTCAGTGAATCTCACCCACATGATGTTGAGTGAAAGCCAGACATCAAAGATAACATATGAGTCCATTTATAGAAGTCCAACAGCAAGGATATCTCATCTGTGGGTTGAGAAGTTGGAAGAGTGGTTACCCCGGGTGAAAGAGGGCTCTAGAGGGGGCTTCTGGGATGCTGATGTTCCGTTTCTCAACCTAGGTGCCAGTTACATGGACTGGTTGAGCGTTTGAAAATTTATTAAGCTGGCTACCTATGATTTATGCCCTTCCTACATCTATGTTTGACAAAAAGTTTTAAAGGAAGGGTGATCGGGCCTCACTGAGAAGGTCCTCTTCTTGCAGGAGCCAGAGATAAGAAAGAGATCAACAAGAAGGAACTATATGAGAGCAACAAGCGTTTCCTGGGGCCCTACAACCCTGTCAGCCCATGCCAGAACATTCTGCGTGTGATTGCGGTGACTGCCTGCTGCCCATCAGCCCTGGGCCTTTCGGGGAATGGGGAAGAGAGGCAGCACCAGCCTGCCCAATACCCTCCTCACCCCTCCCATCTTTCCAGGAAGGCTTCCCTGACCACGTAGGCCATCCTGAGCGCCCACAACCCCTCTGATCTGTGCCACAGCGAGTGGGCCATATCACCCAGCTCTGGGGCCATGATGCCCCTTATTTTGCAGCTCCTCCCCAGAGATGGTGGGCTCTCCCTGCTGCCCTCTGTGTGCACCTGGCAGTGTTTGTACATCTATGTATGGCTTGCCTGGAGTCTGCCTAAGTGTGCCAGCATCTCTGTGCTTTTGTTTCAGGAATTCGGAGACTTCCTGGGACCCCAGCAGGTAAAGGACCTGTTGCTAGCAGCCCTGGAAGGGCTGAAAGGTGGCTCAGAGGTTGAGGTGAAAGACTCCGGGGAGATGATGCAGCTGGCCTCGGAGGTCATGCTCTGCTCCGTGCTGGAGTGGTACCGTCACAGGGCACTGGAGGTGGTAAGGCCCCTGGAAGCCGTGGCTGGGCTGGGAGACCCCACAGGGCCTGCTCATCCCTCAGGCAGGGCAGGGGTGGTGGTGGCTGAGTTCCACGTGCTTCCGACTTGCAAGTGAGAAAGAACTTACCCATCCCACATGGGGAGAAGGCGGGCAGTGAGAGAAAGAAGCTCACTTTCAGGGAAGGAGCAGACACTCTGCCCCCTCCTCATTTCTCTCTTGTGTGCCCCCCTCTGTCCTGTCCCTCCTTCCTCCTCCCATCTCCCTGCCCCCACATCTCCCTTGGCTTCTCCACTGGCCCTCTGCCTGCTCACGGCTGCCCGCTCTGCTCCAGATCCCAGAAATCATGCAGGCTATCTACGTGCAGCTGAGCCACATCCAGGAGCCCCGGGCCCGCGAGGTGGCCCTGCTGCCCGTCTCTCTCCTGGCCAGCTCCTTTATGACTGAGGTCGTTGTGGCCCTGCTCATGTGCCCCCTCCCACTAGACAGGTACCAAGAGAGGGGGGTTTCCAGCCATTACATCTCAGAGGGTTGAAGCGGCCCCTACCTTGGTCCGGGACTCTTCTACCCAGAGGAGCCCCTTGCCCTTCTAGATGGCCCCTCTTCTATAACCCGCGGTATTTACGCCAACCATTAAGCACTTCCCCAGCACTGCCAGCCATCTTTGCTCAGCATTAATAGTGCAATAACCCCATTCTACAGATGAGGAAACTAAGGCTCAGGGGACGTTTCTTAGCCTAGGCACCCAGTGAGCTGGCAGCAGAATAGATGTAAACTCAGATCTGACTGACTCCAACCCCCCTTTCCAAGCCACTGACTTCACAGTGCCCTAGAAAGGAGGCTGAGTGACAGTCCTGACTCAGCCTCCAGCTGCTGTGTGGTCTTGGGTGGCCTGCTTGTCCTCTCTGGGCTTCAGAACCCCCCTCAGGCAAAAGGAAGAAATAGTCCCTGCAGTCCCACTCCAGATGGGTGGTTGTGACAAGTAATTCAGCCAGCTGTGCCGAGTTCCTGCCTGGGCCTGGGCCTGGGCCTGGGCACGAGGACGCACCATGCTCTCCGTCCTCAGGGAGCAGGTGGTCTGATGGGCAGAGGCGACTGTGGCCAGGAGGTGAGCTCGGCACAGGAGAGACCAGTGTGACTGCTTCGGCCTCCCAGCCCCGCAAATGCTCCCACACCTTTGAATGACTAAAGGCAGAAAGCCTGTCGTCCACATCTTAAGATGGTTGGTTGAGAGTGAATGTCAAAGAATTGCACAGAGCTACGCAGATGGGGGCGTGCTTCTAACAAGGACCGTGGGCACCATTCATAGAAGCCAAGGACATCAGTGGTGAGGGCTGGGGTGACACCTCTGTCCTCCCACCCGCAAGAGGTTAAACCTTGTGATTGCACTGCCCACCAGAGGGCTTGCTTCTTGGAGCCACCGCACGTTCAGGCTCACCAGGCTGCCGGGGCCACACTTGACATCAGAGTTGCTCAGGATATAGGGCGGTGGCAGGGGCTCCTCTTTGCAGGAGACCTTGCAGTAAGTGGCCCATGAAGCTGGCCAGACAGAGCTGGAACAAAATTTAAGGAGGTCCTTGCTCTCAGGTGATAAGCCTGCACGTGTATGAGCCTGAAAGTGAGGGGCTCCTTAAATTTTTGGCCCTGGATGCTTCACTTTCCTTACCCTAGTCTTGGCCCTGGTTCCAAGACTTGGTCTCTTGGGCTTCTCAGGTGAAAGGTGTAGAAGCTGCCCTAGCTTAAATGGCTCAGGCTTTATAGGAACTACTATTTAACTAGTATTTCTTATAATAAATAACTCTATAGACTTTGCTTCCAGGGTCCCCACAGGGACAAGCCTTGTCATGCCTGGAAGCTCAATGCTACAATGTCCCCATCGGTTCTCAGAGTTAATTTATAGTTCCTCCCAGCTCAGATGCAATTTACCAATTGGGTCATTTTTACCATAAACAATGTTACCTAGCAACATAGTTGACATACTGTCTTGATCAGGTTTCCAGGGGAACAGAGCTGGAAAGTTAATGGGAGGTTCAAACTCTCATGCAAAAGGGGGAAAGGGGTGGATTAACCCTACAGTGCCCTGGCCTGTCAGAGGGCCCGCAGGCCGATGAGACTAGCACAGATGCCTTCCCTGGCCTGGTGTACTTCCTTTTAAGGGACAAGAGCGTGGGGTCCTTGATATTATGTGACAGATGCAGGATCCAGGCCCCAAAGGGCTCCTGGGCCTAGGGGGAGGAGCACAGGCTTTGGGACTTCGACCTGGTTACTTCTTGGTAATACAACTCCTTAGCTGTGTAGTCTTGGACTGGTGATTTCACCTCCCTGAGCCTCAACTCTGCATCTGTAAAATGGGAATAACAACCCACCTTGAGGGTCGTTGTGAGAATTCAGGGTCCTTGAATGTCTTAAATACCTGTTCACATCTGTATCCCCAGAGATTTGCTTAGTGCCTGGCAGACAGCAGATGCTCAATATTTGCTGAAGTCATAAATTGTATATAAAGCACCTGGCAAAATACCTAGGCTTTCTTATCACTATTAGCCCCCTGACTCACAGGGAGTGTTTTCTGAACCATTCCAGAAATTTGCTAGCACACCCATGGATACCAGTGGGAAGCAGGGTTGCCCCTGCTTGGCCTGGTCCTCACTAACCACCTACCCCCTGACCTCGCAGCAGTGGAGCAGAGATGTGGAGGCAGCTGATACTGCGCAAGCCCAGCTGTGATGTCCGAGACCTCCTGGACCTGCTCCTGAACAGCCTGAAGGAGAAGCCTGTCACCAAGAAGGGCAGGGCCTCCATCGTGCCCCTAGCGGTGAGACCTGCCCCACCTGCCCCTTTCCCCCTCCCTGTCCTGCCGGGCTCAGCACACTCAGCTTCTAGCGCGCTGCTCCACTGGCGGCTCGTTGTGTGGCCTTGGGTTAGTCTCCGTCTGTGGGCTCTTGGCCGTGATCCACGGAGGGCAACAGTGCTGCTACTCACAGTTACATCAGCAGCCTGGAATAGTAAATGTCTAACATTTACCTGGAGCATAGTAGACATTCAAAAACTTTGAACTGATATATTCGACAATTATTTATTGAGCACACTCATCTGTTCTGGGGACTCAGCAGAGAGCAAGACATTCTAATGGAGAGAAGCAAACAAAGATGTGGGGGATGGAGGAGCGGGTGGTATGCTTTACAGAGGAAGATACTCTTGCTCAGCAATCTCGCCCAAAGTCACATGGCCAGTGAGCGGCGGTGCCGGGACACAAACCCGGGTCTCCTACCTCCAAATCCTGTGCTTCGCCGTCAGATCTCTGTCTCTCTCCCCCAGCACCGAGTTCTGTGAATGAGGCTTCAGCCCCCAGGCCCTCCCTGACGTGGGCATTTATTCATTCCTCCAGCGTTTCTCCTCTGTTCAACAAGCATAGTCTGAGCATAGATGCAGCCTGGACTAATTTTTAGCCCGTGGTATTAATAAACCATTTGAGCAAGATGAAGCTAAGAGCGGAGCCTTAGGATACATCACCAGAGACTTCTCTCTACGCCACAGGCTGTTTTCTTTGAACATACAGTCGTTAGTTTTGGGCTCCTGAAAAGTGTAAAGGCTTTGAGTCAAAGACACTTGCCTTAGCTCTGGCACTACCTCTCTGTATAACCTCGGCCAGTCGCTTCCCCCTCTTTCACCTTCATATTTAGATGGACAGCGAGTGGTAATAACTCCTGCCTATCTGCCTTACCTGTGCAGAAGAGTGAGGTAGTGTCTGTGAAAGGGGTTCCCAAGCTATAAATGACAAAGAAGTCATTTATTCCAAAGCCTTTTATTGTTCTCATCCAGCCCATATTATGTCATGTATTTCCACGGAAACAAGCCTCGGATCTTTCACTTCACAATTAAATGGGCCAGCTGCGCGGTGGCACATCCTTCAACCGTTCCTTTAGAAGTATTCACCCTTCTCCTTCACTCAATTCTCACCACACCTGGGGCTGGCTGAATGAGGACCAGTAGCCTCACTTTACGGAGGATGAATCTGAGACTCAAAGAGGGGCTGGGAGTGGTGGAGCCAGGATGAGCCTTCAGGTCTTGTGACCCCAGCCCATCATTGCGCCCTCCCCACCCTCACATTGTCCTGCCAGTTAGAGAGGACTTGGTGGGCCAAGCGTGAGGGGTGGGCCCAGGCCAGGACCAGAGGGGAACGTACGTGGAGGAGTTGCAGGGTGGGAGAGATGAGTATAAATTGGGTCCTTGGGAACCTGGGTGGGCAAATGCCAGCCAAGCCAAATTCCCGGGACTTGGGAGGGCTGGTGCAGGGGAAGGTGTGTGAGCTGGGTGTGGAGTCCAAGACTGGCCTTCCCTGGCTTCTGTTCAAGCCTGCAGTTTGTTTCTTTGGCTGCTGGCCACACGGGGAGGCAGTGAAGGCAGCCTAGCTTCATGGTCCAAAGTAAAGAGCCAGCTGGTGCCCCTCATAATCTGTGTGCCTGTGGTACCAAAGAGGAAGAGGCAGGGCATGCTACAGCCATCTCTGGAACCCTAGGTTCAAGACCCAGCTCTGCCCCCCAGGGATTAGGTGACCTTGGGCAAGTCCCATCACCCCTCTGAGCTTGTCTGCTCACTGGCACAGGGGGATCAAGACGACCGCCATGATCTTCCAGGGGCTTGTCAACGTCAGAGGGGCAGGCTTTTGTAATTGTTCTGCTGCAGGGCCCACGCATAGGGCCAGGAGCCAGGAGCCAGGGTAAGGGGTGGCGGTGGCGGGGGGGATCTGGGCTATGAGTAGAGCAAAGATCCAGGTCTGACCCCTCCCCGAGAAGCAGCCCATCCCCTGCCAGGGGTGCTGAGAGAGTGGGTCAGGACTTCCCGCCTGCCTCCCCTCTGCCCCCAGGCAGCCAGCGGCCTGTGTGAGCTCCTGTCCGTCAACAGCTGCCTGGGCCGAGTAAGGCGCATCTACCCCCAGCTGCTCCTGGCCCTGCTCGTTCAGGTCCATTACCACATCGGCCTCAATCTGTCCAACCACGTGGGTTCCTGCAAGGACGCCAAGGACGCACAACCCTCTGCCTTCGTACCTGTGTGGTAGGCCCCTGTTGCCCCTGGCTCAGGGAGGGCCACCCGGCAAGGGCCTTTCTGAAAGTCTTTAGGGCCATCGATCAACATTAACTGTGAGACTAGAAGAGAAAACAGAAGCACACTTTTATGAAAGCCAATCATTTGTTCAGCAACTGCTTACGAGCCCGTGCTGTGTGTCAGACTCTGCTTAGGCCGAGAGCCTGGGCTGCAGGAGAGAATCGGCCCTCCCCACGGGGATTTTATCTAAGGCCCAGCCATCCAATTTTAAATGATCAGTCAGAATAGGTAATCTATGCATGTGGTAAAAATCTCGGAAGACATTGAAAGTGATTTTTCCTTTCCTCCTCTCACCCCAGTTACCCTTCCCAGGAGGATGGAGTCCTTTCATGCCCTTCCAGAGCTGGCGGGGGCAGAGATAAGCACACAGGTTTATTTCTCTATTTATCTGCCAGTGGAACTGTGAACCTTACACAGTTATACATTTTTGCTTTTAGCACATACTGTATCTTGGAGATCATTACATATAGAGCTGGTCATCATTTTTAACAGCTGCATACTATTTCCATATAAAAAATTTCAATGTACCATAATTTATTTCACTAGGCTCCTCTTAATTTAGGCACTTTGCAGCCCGTTGCAATTACAAACAACGCTGCAGTGAGTTTGCTTGTTCATATGTCTGTGTGTGCACACATGTGACTGACTATATGTGCACATACAGACATATAGGAGGAATTCCTGGCAGTAACATGGCTGTGTCAAAGGGTTTCTGCACCTAAATATTAAGGTGGAACAGGACTACGTGGTGAAAGTTTCTTGGCCAGCGAAGTGATGAAAGCAGAATTGAAATACATCCTAAAGCACCAAATTTGCCAAGTTGCCTCCCACAAGCGCACTGCCCCCAGTAGGGTAGGAGTGTCTACCTCCTCGTGTTTTGCCAGCACAATGTAGTATAAAACATTTTCATCTTTCCTAATCTGAAAACTGAAAAATGGTATTTTGCTGCAATTTTAGTTTGTATTACTCCTTGTCATTTGTATTCTAGTTTGTTAACTTGACTTGCAACTATTTTCTTGTTGTTTGTGTGTGTGTGTGTGTTTGTTTGCCATTCAGAAATTTTAAATTTATGTAGTCCAGTTTGTTAGCTTTTTCCCTTTTGGTTTCTGTTGTGTGTTATGCTCACAGAGGTGCACTTTGCAGGACACAGGGCAAGCAATCGTGTAGCTTGGCTTGGATTTGAGTCATGGTTCCATCACTTACGTGTTTTGTACTTGGGGTAAACTAACTTAACCTTTTGGTGGCTTGGTTCCCTTGCCTATAAAATGGGATAAGTGAATTCTACCCCCAGGACTGTCGTAAGGACTAAACAGGACGGTATCACAGCAAGACACTGGTGCTCATTCCCCTCGAGCTCACGGGTGCTACTGTGAAAGTGTCACCTCTGACTCAGAAAGCGAGTGGGCTTGAGGGAAAACAAAACCAGAGGGAAGTGGAGGGGACCCTGGAGAAGGGAAAGGAGGGACACATCACAGGAAGGTTCTCAGCTGTTCAGTGAAGGTGCGAACTCCTGACTTGGAGGGCTTCATCATTCGGCTGACGCTCGCACCAGGGAGCTGGAAGAGAGCCTGAGCGTCCACCCTCACCTCTGCCTCACAGGACGCAGCTTCTGAGACAGAAAAACCAGAGGTGGGCAAGTGCCACACTGAAAGAGACCAGAAAAGCCACAAGGTGGCACCTGGGTGGAGTAGGCTGAATGGTGGCTCCAAAACATATGTCCACCTGGAACCTCTCACTGTGACCTTATTTGGAAAAAGAGTCTTTGAAGATATAATTGAGGGTCTTGAAATAAGATCGTCCTGGACTAACCAGGTGGGTCCTAAATCGAATGACAAGTGCCCTTACAAGAAGAGGAAAAGACACACACGGGGCGGGGGGGCGGGAAGGGAAGGCCACGTGAAGAGAGGCAGGGATTGGCGTGCTGCAGCCACAAGCCAAGGAAGGCCACAGTCACCGGAAGCAGGGAGAGGCAAGGGCAGATCCTCTCCTACATCTTCAGAGGGAGCGTGGCCCTGCTGGCAACTGGAGTTTTGGACTTCTGGTGTCCAGAGTGGAGAGAGAGAATAAATTCCTGTTGTTTTAAGCCACGAAGTATGTGGTAATTTGTTAGAGTAGCCACAGGAAACTAAGACACTGGGGTGTGGACGCCGAGCGGCGTCACTGGTGCTCCCGGCTCGGCTCCGTGATGGAATGGGAAAGCTCGGATGAGGTCACCAGGTGCAGAGATGGCCATACCCTCCCGCGAGGTGAGGTGGGTGGAGGCGGTGCATGCAGACGCCAGCTCTGTCACACAGACTTGGGCTTGAAGGGGAAGGGGTGCCCTGCTGGACCGGACACCACAGATGCAGCCTGACAGTGCGTCCTGTGAAGTCCAGCTTCTGTGCCCTGTGGCTGCCTCGGGCTGCGAAGCAGCTCCACGTGGGATCCTTGCTCCCTACCGCCCACCCCTGGCCCCATTGCAGTGCGGGAACAGGGCAGCCCTGGCTCCACTGGCTCAGAAAAGCCAAGAATCTAAACTCTGCCCATAAAACCGCATTATAAACTGTTAAAGCAAGGGTTTGGCTTCCTGGAAAACTTTGTTGAAATGTAAACTTTATTACATACTTCGCCAGTTTTTATCTTAATAAAGGCTCCTACACACATGTGCACCTATAAATGTATATATATCCAAACATATATAGGTACGACATACACCTGTGAACAGCCAGTGCTGTGCCAGGCAGGCAGCAGGGTGACAACCCTTGGCAGTGCCCTCCCCCTGCTCGCCCATGGCCGGGCTTCTCAAGCTCACCCAGGGGCTGCAAAGCGCAGACCGGCGGCCCAGCCTGATCAGTGTCTGGGTTGTATAAGCTCCCCGGGGACTTCTTTGTGCATCTAGGTTTGGGACTCCCTACTTACGTGTCCTGAGCGAATGAGAGACTCAGAGTTAGACAGGAGACTGTGTCCAAATGCGCAGAAAGGGCTGTCCTGCAGGGCAGTGCCCAACAGCTATGACTCGATAGGGGTGGAAGGCAAGATCGAGGCAGGCCTGGGAGGCTGGAGGCCTGGCTCCGACCTCTATTCAGTAAATCAGCTCAGGGGAAAAAGGAGGGTAGAGCAGCAGCTCCAAAGGGAGGTGAATTTTGCTTCTGTTTACTCTCTTGTTCTCAAGGCTAATAATTGTAAAAAAGCCGCTCTTTGTGGATACACTGAACACTGCTGGCTAATAATCAGCATAGCGGAGAGGAGCTTGTCTGGCCAGGTGGGGGCGGATGGTGGGAAAGACCTGGGTGGAGGGAGGTCGAGCCTGCTGGGGGCAGGGCGACATGAGGTCTCAGCCCCCTTGTCTTGGCAGTTGGGTGGTCAAAGTGGTGAAAACCCTGCTGCTGAAGATGGGCTGCTCATACGAGGCCGCCTTTCTGGATGACCAGGGCGGCTGGGAGCTCTTGGGGCAGGCGGAGAACCATCACCGAGGAGTGTCCCTGCTGGCCAGGTAAGGCCAGGGACCCCCGAGGGGGCGGTGAGAGGGCAGGAAGAGGCCTTGGCATCTTCAGGCAGAGTTGGGTTTGCACGTCTCTGGGCAAAACCCTTTCCTCAGCCCATCACCTCTTCTCTAAAACCAGCCGAGTGTCGTCTACCTCGGTGGGTAGACAATAGGGATGTGCAAGATGGCGCACACTCTGCAGAGGCACACTGGTTATCACAGTGCCCGGCAATTGCAGAGCACTTAGATTATTTATAAAGCACCTGTCCTCGCTGAGTTATGAATTTAATACCCGCAATAATACAGACATGGTGGAATGGCTGAGAAGTTCAGAGCGCGGCCTTGGAGTTGGCCTGCCTGTGTCTGAACCTCAGCTTGCCATTTCCCACCTGTGTGACCCAGCGCAAGTTACTTACCTGTCTGTGTCAGCTTTCCCTTCAGTAGTAAGGACATAATAATAGGGCCCACATCCAGGATTTGGGGTGAGGTTTAAGTAAAGCACTTGAAACAGCCCGTGACCTATGATCAGAGCCCAACACAGGTTAGCTTTTACTATCGTTATGCTGCCTGGTGGGGTAGGAATTACCGATGCAGAGGTGGATGCCAGAGAGGGAGTGTTATGCACCAAAGGTCACACAGCCAGGAATCGGCAAAGCTGGGAAATGACCGGCTGACTCGGACCCAGGCTCTTCCCTGCAACCACGCACAGCCTCCCATGGGGTCAGGAGAGGGCACCTGGATTTCAATGATGTGACTCCTGCAGGAAAGCCTGCCTCTTAGCCCTGCACCCACTGCCCAGGATGGGGTCCCCCCGGGACCTCAAGATACAACCACATTTATTGAGCACTTCCTTTGCTTGAGGCACCATGCAAAGAGCTGTATGCATGTAGATTATTCCATTTAACCCTTACCATGACTGATGAAAGAGCACTCCTGTTATTCAGTGTTACCAGTGAGGAAACCAATGCACAAAGAAGTGACTTGCCAAAGTCCCGCAGCTAGTGGTTGGGGCCAGCACGTGAACCCAGGCTTCCTTACTCCAGTCTCTGTGCACAGCTGCCACCCTTCCTGGGTTCACTGATAGCAGAGCATTGTGCCGTGGTCCCCAGACTTGAGTGAACAGGGCTTGTTTAAACATTGATTGCTGGACCCCACTCCCAGAGTGTCTGATTCAGTTGGTCTGGAACGGGCGCCTGAGCATGTGCATTTCTGGCAAGTTTCCAGGGATGCTGATACTGCCGATGCAGGGGCCACGTTGTGAGAACCACATGACTTGGTACAGTGAACAAGGCAGCTAGAGTGGGGGGCCCTGTGTTGGGGCTCCGGCCCTGCTGTCTTTCCAGCTCTGGGATCCTGAGCAGTTATACTTGGAGGTTGTCTCCTTATCTATGAAACTGAGGATGACCATGGTAATCTGCCTCAAAGCTTAATGGTGAGGATCAAATGCCATAACAACATGAAAGCACCTGGCAGCTGCCTTGTGCTTAGTGAGTGGGGCCTCACATCCTCTCCTTCCCGCCTCCTTCTCCTGAGGTGGTCCTGTGCAGCCTGCCTGTCTTACTGATTTGCTTTGCACTGTCAGGCAAGTGACTTTTCCGCTCCAAGCCTCAGTTTCCCCATCTGCAAAATAAATTAAACTAGACGGCCTCTGGGGTCCTGTCCAGGTGGGAAATCTTGGGAATGCGGGAACCCAGGTGACCCTGTCTGGTCCATAGTTTCAAGTGTCATGGCCAGATCCCACCCAGAAGGTGTCCCTGAGGCCCTCCGGCCCCCAGGGACAGCTCCCCCTTCCCGACCCCCAGGGCCATGGTGCAATACTCCTGCCAGGAGCTGTGCCGCATTCTCTACCTGCTCATCCCGCTCCTGGAGCGAGGCGACGAGAAGCACAAGATCACTGCCACCGCCTTCTTCGTGGAGGTACCAACAGGGCACTGGGTGCAGGGTGGGGGCTGCTGCCTGGCCTTCCCCTGAGCACAGGCTTCAGTTCACATTAGCGGGCTTTTCTCCTGTGCAAAGAGGGCTTAACCATTTACAGCCTTTCGTGCACATGATTTCTCGCGAATAGGAAGAGCTCCCTCTTCCCTCCCTTCTCTGCTCCTCTCTCCCTTCTCTGCTCCTCTCTCCGCTCCTTCACCTCATTCTCCTCTTCTCAGACCCCCTTTGTTCCCCAGGCAACCACCATCCTTGGCTGGATGCTTCTGCATGCCAGGCACCAGAATGGGCATATAAATATAAATTTGACTCTTTCCTGCCCTCAATGAATTCTTAGTGCAACAGAAGAGACAGAGGACGTCCCCATTATAACATGGGGTGCCACAGAGTGATGTGTGCTATCATGGTGACAATCCAGGCTGTAATGGGAGAACAGGAGACGTGAAGTGGTGAGGAGCATCAGGGAGGGCTTCCTGGAGCAAGTGACATCTAAGCTGAATGAATGTGCATGTGGATACTAGGAGTGGGGTGCTGGGAAAAGATGAGCCAGGAGAAGATTGATAGGGTCAGACCCAGAAAGGGAGACTTGTTTTATAATAATAGAACATTTACTGAGCACTTATTATCTTCCAGGCACATTCTAAGAGCTTTACACATATTGATTCACGTAATCCTCACACAATCCTATGATACAGATACTATTCCATCCCCTATTTCAGAGGAGGAAACAAGCACAAATTTGAGTAACTTTCCTAAGGCCTCACAGCTCGTAAGAGTCAGATTCAGGATTCAAACCCAGACATCTGGGCTCTTCAAACGTTCTGGGTGTATGTGTAGTAAAATACATGGTGGGGGAGGGGGTAAAAGTAGCTTTACTTTTAAAAGTATGTAAACCTACTTTTGCCCCCCCCCACCATGTATATCATAAAAATCGCCATTCAACCACTTTACCTGTAGCGTGCAGTGGCATCACGTGCCACTCATGTTGCTGTGCAACCATCACCATTATCCATCTCCAGGACTATTTCATCTTCTTCCCCAAACTGAAACTTCCCATCTCCTCTCTCCTGGCCCCTGGCAACCACCGTTCTACTTTCTGTCTCTGTGAATCTGCCTTTTATAGGTTTTACATAAGTGAAATCATATACTATCTGGCTTATTTCACTTAACATAATGTTTTTAAGGTTCATCCATGTTGTCGCATGGGTCAGAGTTCCATTCTTTTTTAAGGCTAAATTGTATTCCATAGTTTGTATATACCATGTTTTGTTTATCCATTCATCTGTTGCTGAACACTTGCAAAACCCACTCCCTTAAGCTACGCCTGCGTGCCTCTTCTGACCTGGTGACTGTCGTGCGGGTCAGGGCTATCACCAGGGCCTGTACAGTGGGGCTCAGAGGCAGGAGGCTTGGTTAAGGAAGGCTTCCTGGAGGAGGTGCCATTTGAGACAAGCCTTGACAGGTGAGCAAAGTCCGCCGGATGGACAGGAGGCAGCACGGTGTTCCAGGAGCTCCTCGCATCTTTTCTGCTTCCCCAGAAGTCCTCTTCTGGGCTGTGAGTCTGCAAAGCAGGGGCAATATCATGTTTGCATTACATCCCCAGCCCCAGCCCTGAGAGGGCTCCAAGATGTGGAGATTAAATAGACAGGTGAGGCTCTGAAGGGTTATTTTGCCTGGCTCTGCAGGCACCAGCAGAACTCGTCACCTCCAAGAGCACAGGCACGGGTCTTACTTCTAACTTCCCATGTGGCCTGGGTGAGAGGAAAAGGAAAGCACCATGTCTTGAGGACCTGCTATGTGCCAAACACTGTGCTGACCTCTCTTGTATGTTAGTTACCCCACTAATCTGCACAGCAGCACTGCAAAGGAGGACTTGTGATGCTCAAGCTTAGGTGTTAAGGGGTATTTTTCAAGGTCACACAGCTCAGGGCGTCCAGAGAGATTCAGACCAGGTCTCCCTGACCAGCTCTTCTATGGCAGCCAGTCGGCCTTAGTCATAAGTGGCTGCCACACAGGTTCTTTGGGGAGGGGGTGGGAGGTTGGACCTTGCCGGAGCTCAGGGAATGCTCTCGTGTTCACCGCAAGGACAGGGACCCTACACTTAACCTTTCCCAGCATTCCCCTGGAAGCCTGAGCAGCGCCCTCCCTCCTGGAGCAAGGGTCCTCCCCTAGGTTCTCCTACTCCCCAAAAGAGGAAGCCTGATCCCGGCCAGAGCCAGGCCTGCTGCATACACTGTGGAACTTTGACGTAGCTCAGATGTTCCTCCCTGGCTCCCCAGACCCCTGTGCTTGATTGTCCTGTGTGTACTTGCTTCTCCCGATGGCTGGGGGACTTCCTCAAGGGATCTGTGTGACCTTGGGCAAGTCACGGAGCCTGCTTGTGCCTCAGTTCCCTCACCTGTAATGTGGGGATAATGAACTGCCCATCTCACAGGTTCTGATGAGGATTCAGTGGGTTTACATAAGGCACGCAGGACAGGGCCAGGATCCAGCAAGTGCTCTCTGTGAGTCGGCTCTGTTGCCGTTATTATTATTATCATCACTCCTTTCTGTATCTCTAGTGCCCCCACAGAACCTGTGCAGAGCAGGCCTGAGTACCCTCTGTGGATGGGCGGGAGCCCCTCCCCCAGCTCTCTCTTCTCATGGTACAGACACATGGTCTCAGTATCTCAGTAGATATAGGGCAAGGGAATAATAGGTAGGAGAAGAGTTTATGGGGACAACTAGGCAGAAATCGAAGGCCAATGGTCATGGTTGGGGGGGAGGGCAGCAAGGGAGAGGTGGGAGGCGAGAGCGATGCCTGGTTTGGGGCTGTCCCTGCAATGGGGGCACAGGAGCAAGGGCAATTCTAATGAGGAAAGGAACCTATTGTCATGTTTCACGTAACAAGTGTCCCCTAAGCACGTATTCCACACCAGAGCTGTCTTAGATGACAGGGACCCAAAGGAGAAACACTCACTTGTGTCGTCCAGGAAACCCGCAATGGGAGAGGGGAGGCAGTTGCACTGCCAGTGGGAGCCCGAAGTTCTCCGTGTTCAGGGCTCTAGGGGGCCCAGAGAAGGGGGCCAGCAGCCTAGGTGGGGCCTGGGGGCACTGTCGGACGTGGCTTCTCAGGGGCCGAGCTCTGGACGGAGCCATGCAGAATAAGCAGGGGCTAGAGAGGAGGGGCGTGCTCTGGCAGAGGGGCATCCTGCCCACCCCAAAGGGACAAAGCCGCCTGAGTCATTCCATGAACAGAGCTCAGCCCGGTTAGAAGCTGGTCGAAGGTAGAGTGTGGCTAGAGGGCAGGTAGGCCCCAGTGAGGCCCCAGAGCACTTAGGGTTGATGGCGAAAGGCAACGGGGGAAATGGGGGCTCTGAGGGGGGCAGTGACACATTCAGCTCTGACCTGAGGTGCTGGACATCGGGTGGACGTGTGCGGTGAACTATTGGTTTTCCAAGTTGCTCCGGATGGAGGCCGAGCTGGAATAACTTAGGTGTTATTCACCTGTGGACAGCAGTGAAGATCCTGGGGACAGGGGGCTCAGAGAGAAGAGTGGGCAGAAAGGACAGGGCCTGGGGCCATCGCGCTGTGTGCTGGGTGGAGACAGAGGCGCCAGTGGCTGTCACCAACCAAACCCGGGCTTTCCGGTATGACTGCTGCGAGCCGCACGGCGCCAAGTTGATGCTTGAACTGCGGCTGTCTGAACTGAAACGTGTTCTAAGTATAACATTCACATCAGGTTTCAGTGTGAAACATATCAATAATTTTTATATTGATTACATGTTGAAATGTTAGTATTTGGGGTATATTGGGTTAAATAAGGTGTATCACTAAGGTTAATGTTACCTATTTCTTTTTACTTTTTTAATGTGGCTATTAGAAAATTCAGGCTTACACATGTGGGCTTGCAATGGACAGTGCCGATTGGGCAGTAGCTGTTCATGCCCTACACTTGGCCCCTGGTCATCCAGCATGTGCTACCAGTGCATGGGGACCCACAGGGCTGCTGTCCCCTCGGTCCAGGGGGTAATCACCGTTACTCCCTCAGCTCCTCCAGATGGAGCAGGTGCGGCGGATCCCTGAGGAGTACTCTTTGGGCCGAATGGCGGAAGGCCTGAACCACCACGACCCCATCATGAAGGTTCTATCCATCCGAGGCCTGGTCATCCTGGCCCGCAGGACTGAGAAGGTGAGCCGAAGGCAGAGGAAAGCCTGGCCCAGCGGACTCGGCTGGAGGAAGGATGGAGCCAGTTTCTACCCCTGCCTCAGCTGCCCCATCTGTAAAATGGACATCCCCTTAATAATTCCCTAAGTACTTTATTCTTTGTGAAATGGTTTGTAATTCAGAGTTTCACAATGACCCTAAGGGCTGTGTGTGTAAGAGGGATTGGGGATGGTAGTGATTATTCCTGTTTTACAGATTAAGAAACCGAAGCTAGGATTTTTGGGGCATCATTAGCATTTTTTAAAGTGCTTTATTTTTTCTACCAGGCAATGGTATAGTTCATTATATATATAATGGATGGAGTGACAAGATGTAGACTCCAAAGTTAACTAATAATAATACAAGGAAGGGAGTAGAGAGCAAAGGGCTTCCAGGGTCCGGACCAGGAAAGAGCCAGCAAGGCCCAAGAAGGCTTTGGAGACAGCACGGGCTTGAGGGGGCGCATTCCAGGCTGGTGGGATGGCAGGAGCAAAGGCCCGGAAGCGGGACTTGTTTCACTTTGTTCTCAGTGAATCAGAGGCTGGGGCTCCGACCTGTTAGCCCATGTAGGCACCCCCATCCCAAATGCTCCTGCCCCACAGACCGCCAAGGTGCAGGCTCTCCTGCCCTTCATGGTGAAGGGTCTGAAGAGTGTGGATGGGCTGCTGGTGATGGAGGCAGGCCACAACCTCAAGACCATCTTCAAGGGGCTGGACCGGAGGAAACTGAATGACCACTCGGTCTATGTGGAGATGCTGCAGGTCCTGCTGCCACACTTCAGTGACGTAAGGGACCCCTCGGGTGAGGGTGGTAGTAGGTGGGAGCGGTGGGGGTTGGCATATAGAGGGTGGTTCTTTACTGCCCTGCAGGCTGCAACATCTCCAAGGTCCCCTGGCTCCTGGGCAGGGCGAAGTCAGCCCAGGGGAAGGGGCACCTCATTCCTCATCCCAACTGATCCATGTCTTTTTGTAATAGGTTTGCATAGAGAAATGTCCTTTTCTAATTGGCTCGCATGGAGGGGGCTCTTCTTTTATAATCGAGTCTCCCCAGAGACTTGCTTCATTGCTTTTGGTCTCGCTACAGGGGGTGCATTGTTTTTTATTGGTCTGGGCAGAGGGGTGCATTTTCCCACTTGGCATTAGGGCACCTTTTGAGTGAGCAGGAGATCTGGCTGGGGAGAGTGGGAGGGGCTCCCGAACTGGGCTTCGGTGAGAGGGGACAGCAGCCCCAGGTCAGCCCCACCGGGCGGCTTCTGCTACTCTCTGTCTCTGTGCCTCCTGTGCCTGGAGGGCCACTCAGAATGAGTGGAAGGAAGGTCGCGGTGCCTCCACGTGAGGGGCAGGGGCCCAGGCTGCCTCCCGGAGGAGGGAGCAGGCCTGAGCCTCTGCACCTGTCCCAGCCACGGGAAGATGTGCGCTCCTCCTGCATCAACCTGTATGGCAAGGTGGTCCAGAAGCTGCAGTCGTCGCCCCGCACCCCTGCCATGGAGGGACAGCTGGTCAGAACCTTGGTTCCCCTGCTGTTGACCATGCAAGAGGGCAACACCAAGGTGAGCCAGGTGAGTGTGTGCAGGCACCTGGCCCTGCGGGTGCCTCTCCCTGCATGGAAACGGATCCAGAGTCACTAACAGCTACGGGGAAAAGTCTGTTTTCCAAAAGCACCCATGTCAGGATCCCTCCTCCAAAACACCAGCTTCACTTGTACATTTCAGATAGGAATTGATTTCCCAAAATCCAGTTCCACACGACATTCTTCTGGAACATATTCTGGCTGCCCGGGAACTCCACAGCTCTGGTATTCTGTTTCTGTTGGTCTTCAGTTCTGTGTGAAGACCCTGTTCCGCTGTTCTTGCTTCATGGCGTGGGAGTTGCCAAAAAGAGCTTATAGCCGGAAGCCCTGGGACAGCCAGCAGCAGACGGTGGCCAAGATTTGCAACTACCTTGTGAGTGCTTTCAAGACTCCAGTGGTTCCTTACGAGTATATTGGAGGTGGGCAATTCTTTCCCTTCCTCTTCTTTCTTTTTTACATTTCGACTGCAAATTCCAATACCACCCATGCGTGTTGCTCCTGGGCGTTCACCTCCATCTCTAACTTCTCTCCTCATTCCCCATGTCCCCTTTCCAGTGGTCCGCCAGACACCTCCCGGCGGCTGAACCACGCGCACTGCAAGCTCAGCATGTCTCTTCTGAATTTACGGACTTCCCACTTCGATTCTGCTCTGTCTCTCTAGATCCCCAAAGCTGAAACCTAGAATCATCTAGACTCCTTCACCTCCCTCACCTTCCATATTGGATCGGTCTTCAATGCCCTAAATACCCCTGAATCTGTTTTTCCCTCCCCAACCCCACTGTCGTTGCCTTTAGTTCAGGTCATGGACGTCTCTCCGCTGGGACAGGCGTCTAGCCATCCTGAGGGTCCCCCAGCCTCTGATCTCATCTTCGCCAACCTATTCCCCACCCAGGCCACCCAGGCCACTGGAGTGGTCTGGTTAAAACGCGCATCAGTTTATCTTGCTGAAAGGGCTTTATCATCTTCTTTTTCCTCAACAGTAATTCCCAGGGGGTGCACTGTCATTGTCTGTGACACCAGTTCTTTTTTTTTTTAATCCCTCCCCAAGGACACGCTTATCAATTTTTAGAGAGAAGGGAAGGGAGGGGGAGAGAGAGGGAGAGGAACCTCGATGTGAGAGAGAAATACCAATGGGTTGCCTCTTGTGCCCTGACAGGCTCAGGCCCCAAACCTAGGCACGTTCCCTGATCGGGAATAGAACACACGATCTTTCCGTTTATGAGATGATGCTCCAACCAAGTGAGCCACACCTGCCAGGACTATCAAACCAGTTCTATAGGATATTACTTACTGCGGAGAAAAGGCGTTCTAAGACAAATAAGTTTGGGAAATGCGGCATTGTCATCTTCCTCTTGGATATTCGCAATGCCGTCAGCTCATTAAAGTCTCTGAGATGTTCTGTGCTCAGGATATGTTTCATGGTTGTTTAATTTATGGTTTTCCAAACTTACCTGACCCCACAGAACCCCCTCTCTAGGTAACACCTGAGAACATCCGAAGGTAGTAAAGTGCGGCATCGCAGGATACAGCCCAGTCCCTCCACATAACATTTAGGAAGCTGTGCCATCCGGTCCTATTTACCTTCCCTGTTGTCACGGGCAGGGTTCCCCTGGATGCAGACTCTAAGACAGAGATTAGCAGGCAGAGGGTTTATGAGGGAGCACCCCTGGGGTTAAGGAGCAGGAGTAGTAGAGGAGAACTCAAGCCTCAGTGTAGTTTCAGGGAGGCCTCAGGCAGCACTGCATGAGATTCCCCAAATGAGGGTCGGGGTCAGGTTTTACATCTCACCTGCCTCTGGATGCCAGCCACCCTGGGAAGGGGTGTGACCTTGGATTAACACTTTTCCTCAGCCAAGGCAATCCCCAAAGTTGCGCTAATAAATTTTTCCCACCCAAAGGGAGATCGGGGCAGAGCGTACCAGCGTCCCCCATACCAACCTAACAAATATATACAGAGTAACAGATTGAGAAGAGGGTTCAACACCACCGTGACCAGTAGTGCTCAAAATGTCCCCACCCAGTGTCTAATATTACTACCATTATTTTACAGAGAGAGAAAATGCCCTGGAGGAAGTGTTTGGCCAGGACAATAGTTCAAATACCTGCAGGGACCAGGGGCTGGGCAGATACCGTCATGAGCAACCTGGCAGCGGGGGTGCCTGCGGCGGCCGGCAGGGCCCAGTCCCTGCAGGAAGCCCGCGTCGAGCGCCTCAGCGCACTGTGCAGCCACTCTTGCCAGGTCCTCTCGTTTCACAGGAGAAGCGAGAAACCTAGGTTTTGCTTGTTTGTTTGTTTTTTAATTGATTTGAGAGAGAGGAGAGAGAGAGAGAGTTTTAGTGTTCCACTAATTGATGCATTCATTGGTTGATTCTTGTATATGCCCTGACCAGGGATTGAACCCACAACCTTTGTATATTGGGAAGACATTTTAACCAACTGAGCTACTTGGCCAGGGTGAAATCCAGGTTTTTTATAAGACATTAATCAGCAATCAGTTTAGCTTGCTTAAAACGCTGTGTGGGTCACTCGTGGCCTGTGGGCTGCCAGCTTATGACCTCTGTATTAGGCCCCACAGGATTCTCAGTCTTTTCTTTGGTCTCTAGGTGTCAACACTTTTGCTCATGTGAAGGTCAAGTTCTAGCGTTAGCTTTAGAGGGGGTTGGTAACCTACTCATCAACTCCTTCATTCACTCACTCACTCACTCATCCATCCATCCATCCATCCAACATTTTCTGGGCACCTGTACCATGCCAAGTCCTGTGCAGGGCACTGAGGCCCCTGGGTTGAGTGAGAGGCTTCTTCTTTTTGGGGAGCTCAGGATCCAATGGAGGAAATGGGTATAAATAATCACAGCACAATGTCCTAGGTGCTGTGACAAAGACTGTGCAAGATGCTGCAGACACATCAAGGGTGGTGGGATCAGCTCTGCCTGAGGGTTGTGGAAGCTTCAGGGAGGAGGTGGCTTCTGAGTTGAGCCTCAAGGGATGAGAGGGAACTCATCAGGTGAAGAGAGGGAAGGGCACTGCGATCAGGAGCAATTGCCTGTACCAGGCCCAGATCTGAGGAGAGCGGGGTACGTCCTGGGACGGGGGCATAATGCGCGTGGCGGGTGGAAGCAGTGCAGGAGTTGAGGCCGAGAAGGACCGTGGTCATAAAGGCTTTGCATCATGCCCAGAAGTTTGCTCCCTGATGTGGAGATTGTCAACAGGGGAGAGATCCAATCAGATTTCTCTTCATTTCCCACAACAGCCTCTTAGCAAGATGCTTGCCCCTAGTTTCTACTTGATCAAATTCATCCCAAACACTACTGTCAGGCTATCTTGCCCAAAGTATTGCTTCGCCATGGGCCTATCAAGAATGAATGCTGGCTTCCCGTTTTCTAAAGCATAAGTAAGCCCTGTGCCTGTCTGGCTTTTAAGGGCCTTAAGACTCTCCTCACTCTCCACTTTATTCCCAATTGCTCTGCAAGTTGAACCCTTCACCCTGGTCAGACCTGTTTCCTAATCGATCGTATCCCTTGTATGCCACGGGCATTCTCACCTCTGGATGGACTTGCATTTTAGAATTTTCCTTCCAGCTGCAGCAGGGGCATGGGTTGGAAAGAAGAGACACTCAAGGGAGAAGGACCATGGAATAATTGTGATCAGCCAGGAGGAGATGAGGCCTGGCGTCTGGGGGCTCAGACGGAGATATTTAGGAGACCGGCGGCCAGGGCTGGGCTGCCTGCCAGAGCTGCCATTCCTAGCTTCGGGAAGAGTGGATGAGTAACTAGCCCTGCTGAAGGCTCAGCTCTCCCGCGCTTCTCTTTGTCCCAGGTGAACACCCACCGAGACAGTGCCTTCATATTCCTCAGCCAGAGCCTGGAGTACGCCAAGAATTCCCGGGCCTCCCTCCGGAAGTCCTCGGCCATGTTCATAGGTAACCTTCCCCGGCACAACCAGTCCTGCTCCCGGGGCTCTGCCCAATGCCCGACTTGCCTCCTTCCCTTGGAAGGGCACTGCCAGCCTTTTGGGTACCTGGGTGGGTGCCTTCCCTTGGATTTGAGGGTTGGCCCGCAGAGAGTCACGGTGCAAATTAGAAAGGTCTTCTCTCCTCTAAGATCGCCGTGTGGGCCACAGGCTGGATTCAGCCTGGAGTCCTTGTGTAGGTCACAACCGTGGCAACCGTACACAGCAGAACTGCGGCTCCCCGCCAGAGTGCAGCCTGGGTCCAGGCCCCGCGGGAGCCTGTCACTGTGGAAGTGGAAAAGTGAAGTCGAACCTCAGCTCCGTGAGCCCCTTTCTGAGCTCGGTTTTCTCATCTGTGAGATGGGGATCCACTTCTGTTTCACAGACTGGATGAGAATTTTTTTAAATGTGAAGCCAGGCATGTCAAGGTGCTCACTCGATGTTAGTGACCTTCATTCTCCCCATAATCCCAGCCTCTGCTTCTGTAGGGAAAAAACAAATAGCAGATTCCCTTCACCCAGAATCCCCCACAGGACATTTCTGATGAGGTGCTGGGTATGTCTTCTCTCAGCTGTACTCCCCCTCCCGCCAAAATAACCACACACCCTTCACCAGGGACCAGGAAACCCTGCTGCAAAGACGCTTGGAGAGGATGATGCTCCCGGCCCCCCACTTTGTAAAGTGGTGTTTCCTTGACTCTTCTCAGTTCATTTGCAGTTTTCCATCCATCCAGTCACCCGTGAATCCCTTCAGTGGTTTATTTAGCAAATGGTGGTTGACCCTCTACTCTGTGTGTCACTGTGCTTAGTCCAGAGAAACAAAGAACCCTTCAGGAGGTGATACTGTCCACGGGGTCAGGGATGGGACAGAGGAGTCATGCCCAGGACTGGGGGATCCCTCAGAATATGGGGGCCTGTTCTGAGGCAGCTTCTCGCGGGGAGTGACATTACTTCCTAAATCTTGTTCCAAATTAATCACTTCTGAAAATGTTCGTGTTAACACCCTGGGAGTCTCCCCCCTGCGGGGGGCTGTGCTGGGGGGACAAAGCTGAGCAGCGGGCCCCTGCCCACAGACAGCCCCACTGTGGCACGGTGACTCCAACCTCTGTGGGGGACCTATGGGTGTAAGGCTCTGAAAAAAGGAACACTTTCTCTAGGAAAATGCATATATGCATACAATTGTGCACGTGCTTTAGGATCCTTGGAGACTGCCCCACCCCTCCCCTGTTCGTTTAAGTTGGAGAAGCACCTGGTCTGGTGGGAGATTCATAAATCACATGTAAATACAACACGTCGTATACAGATAGGGAGAAACTCACACAGGACTCTGTAAACCCAGAGAAGCGCTTACTCTAGCTTGGGGGCAGGGGCAGGAATGACTTCCTGGAGGTGCAACTATGCTGAGCTGAACGTTCAAAAGTAAATAGGAGTTAGCCAGGTAAGAAAGTGTAGGAAGGGCCTTCTAAGAGTTACAGGTCATTTAAGGATCTGGTGGTACTTAGGGAGCCAGGCATACAGGCTGGGGGCAGGGGAGGGTCTCAGCCCCCACAATGGGCCCTACCACCTGCCCACCTGGAAGGTATGCCAGGCACTTGGTGTCTTTCATGTTATTGTGGCTCAAACTCCCCAGAGAAGGGGCAGTTGAGGCAGCACCTCCTCCGGTCTCAGGTGAGGATACTTAGGGCCAGTCTGACTAAGGCACCACCTGGGGCTGCCCGTCAGAGTTGGCTACAGGCCACGTCCTGCCCCTGTCCTGGTGTCATCCCTGCCCTTCAAGCCTGCCACCTCTCCCAGAGCCTGTCTTGGGGACTCTGTCACAGGATCAAAATGAAGTTCTCCTTTCGTGTCCTCATTTGCGAGGCTGGAGAAGGGAGAGCGTCTCTGAGGAGGTCTGGTCTCTGGGTGTGTGGGGGTCAGAGTCAGGAGGTAGACGTGCTCACCTCTCCGATTATGCTCAAGGGTCCCTGGTCCCCTTCATGGACAGCATAATGACGGAAGAGCGTCTGAATGAAGTTAAAGCCAGTAAGTTGTGCCCTGCATTGGTGAGATTTCAGGGGCCACTGAGAGAACGGGTAGACTCACAGTGGGTCATAGAAAAGGAAGGGGATAGGTCCCAAGGCAAGGGTCCTCAGCTCAGTTCAGTTGTGTTAGTCTTTACGCAGGTGAGTACATGTTAGGTACCATGGAGTCACCAAGACAGAGGACATAGTCCCATCCTAGGGGAGCTTATAGTCTAAGAAACTGGGCTGAGAAAGCCAGACCCAAAACCATTTAGCTCAGGGCAAGCAGGTCAGGCTCTTAAGGAGGGAAGATTAATTTTGTAACTGGGAAAGCTGAAGGTAGGCTGGGACAGTCCAAGAAGGCTTCCTGGAGGAGGCAGGTTTTGCTTCAGGCTTTGAAGTGTAAACAATTTGAAGAGCTGGGAGGAAGGTAAGATGAGGGGAGGCTGAGCAGAGGGTGCTTAAGCCACGTCATGGAAGTGAGAAGGAAGGATGAGGCATGAGGCCCACGTGGGGACCTGGTCTTTACAAGTGGCCTCTTCCCTTTCACATGACTCAGCTCTGGAAAACTTGAGACACGACCTGGAAGCCTCTGTGTGCATCTGTGCGGCCCAAGCCCAGGACAACATCCTGGCCAGCTGCTGGCGGAACTCATGGCCGCTGCCACATGGGGACTCCTGGGTGTGTGACCCGGCCACCACGCATCGCTGGAGCCCTAGCTGTGAGAACCTGCCCACTTCCCACCGGCGGCGCTCCTGGATCATGCAGGCACTGGGCTCCTGGATGACGTCCTTGAAGGAGTGATATCCCTGAACCCTCCTCACGGGACACCATGGCCTGAGCCACACTCATTATAAATGCCATGTGGCTAACCTCTCTCTGCTGAGTGTTTCCTTTTTGGGAGAGGCCTCAGGGTCTAGAGCAGTCACTGCTCTGTGTAACAATCCTGTGAGAAGAGCGTGGCCTTCATCGCTGACTTGGTCAACATTTATGGACTCCCATAGGCTGTTTGTCCACATTTTATATGTGGGGCAGCTGAGGCTCAGAGAGGTGAAGTGGCTTGCTCAAGGCCACACAGTGAGTTTGTTGGATGTTTCAGTTTCCCCTCCCCAAAAGGGAGAGCAAAAGAACAAAGGGAGAAGATGATTTGGGTGGTTTTGAGGGAGGAAAGGAAGAGATGCCTCCCACCCCATGGCATCAGGCATATCCCAGAATCGGAATCTCTGAGTCCCACCCTCGGATCTTTGCACGGAAATGGGTTGCCAGTCATTCGGGCAGCATTTATTGAGCAGCGAACCTGGGCCAGGTCTGCTCTGGGTGCTGGTGACGCGGACCTGAATGAGGCCCAACCCCAGGCCCTGGGCAGCTTATGGTCTGATGCAGCGGTTCCCCACAGGGACGGATTTTTGATCCCTAGGGAATATTTGGCAATGTCAGGAGATATTTTTGGTTGTTATGACTTGGGGAAGGAGATGCTTTGGCATCTGTGGGTAGAGGCCAATGATATTGCCAAACATCTACAATTTATAGGAAAGCCCCCACAGGGAAGAATCATTCACCCCAAATTGTCAAAAGTATTGAAGTTGGGAAACTTTGGTCTAATGAAAGTATAAGAGACATAAACATACCAACAGCCCAGCAGGTCAGTACTGTGATGAAGGGAAGCGTGGAGGTGTGAAATCCAGAGAAGGCTGGCAAAGGCTTCTCAGAGACAAGGTCTCTCTTCCAGGAGGTTTGGAAAGATGTCCACATGGGGGTTGGGTATGGACAACGGGGCACATGGGACCAAGGTCCAACTGTAGATGCATATGTGCAGTGAAGCCCAGTGTGAGGGAAGAAGTGGGCAAAGGTTGGTCACTGTGGCCTTGGAGGCTGTGTGAAGGAGGGAGACGTCATCCAGAGAGCAGCGGGAAGGCATGGTGGGAGGAGAGAGGCAAGCAGGGGACCAGCGTGGGCAGAGTTGTGCTTTAGAAAACTCCTCCTCCTGGGGATACAGGAATTCCCAGGCACTGCTGGTGGGAGTGTAGGTGAGTGCAGCCATTCCGGACAGGAATTTGTCTCTTTTCAGTCATGTAAGTTTATGTATTCCCATGACCCCGAAATTCCACTCGTGGGCATGCATCTCAGGGAAACCCTCCCATTGGTTCATAAAGAGAGATGTATGACAAAGTCTGTCATGGTGCTATTTGAGGTGCCTGGGAGAATAGAACCTGGATATCCATCCTTGGGGAGTGAATGGGCATCATGGAGTCCCATGAGGCAATGGGAGTACATATAACATCATGGATGGAATTTAAATCCTAGTGCTGAGTGAAAAAAGCATACTAAAAATGCATGGCCCTGGTCGGTGGCTCAGTTTGTTAGAGCATTGACCCATACACCAAAACCTTGCAGGTTTGATTCCTGGTCAGGACACATACCTAGGTTGTGTGCTCAATGCCCAGTTGGGGTGCATAAAGGAGGTGACTGATTGATGTTTCTCTCACACATCAATGTTTCTCTCTCCCTTCCTCTCCCTTTAAAATCAATAAATGTATCCTCCAATGAGGATAAAAAAGATAATAACATGTATGCACGCAAGTTGCAGTTTGCCTGCAAGAACACCTACAAGTTGAAAATACACATTAAAACACGTTACATGGTAAGAGGGACTGAGGAGGACTCTGGGCCATAAAGGGAATAATGAAAAAAAGGAGCGGTAGAAAGCTCACACTAAGTGGAATGAAAGGGCAGGCAGCGGGTGGGGCAAGTTGAGTGGACAAGAGCACAGGCAGGGAGACCTGGTTGGGGGCTTCAGAGAAGAAGGGTGGCAGTGCTGGGCTGCAGGGAGGGGTGAAGAGAGTGATCAGACCTCTGTGGGATTAAGGAAAGAATTTTCAGAACCTGGTGGCTGATGAAGGGGAAGAAGAGCAAGGTGCCCAGAATGGTGCCCAGGTTTCTGCTGGATGACTGGGTCCGTGGTGTCCCCTCACTGAGTGATTCCTCAAACCAGGAGCAGATTGGGGGAGGGATGAGTTTGGAGTGGACGTGGTGAGTGTGAGGGGCTAGTGCGCCACGCTAGTGGAGACATCCACCAGGTGGCTGGCTGCACCAGGGTGGAGCTCAGCAGAGGGATCCGAGATGGAAACAGATCTGAGGCTCACCTGTGTACAGGGGTGAGGCGAGATTCCCTGGGTGAGTCCATAGAGTGAGAAGAGACAAAAGTGTGAGGAGCACCTACATTTAAGCTCCTACTGGGGATAGGGAACCCAAGAAGTTGACCACACTATCACCCCCTGATAAATGGTAGGCCAAGACCATCAGGATCCTGGGCTGAAGAGGGAGTAGGAAATGGGGACGGTCCTTCTGCATAACCTTTTCTGTTGCCAAGCATGTTCACAAACATTACCTTCTTTGAGGCTTATGCTAAGCTTACAGACTTATGGGGAAGGTAGGCCAGCTTTATTGTCTACATCCGACATACAAGGACAGGGCTCAGACGGTGGGCCTTGTCCAACGTCACACAAGGAAATCGATGAAAGTGTGAGTCCCAAAGTTCTCCCATGCATGCCTCAGACCTTTCCACCTAGAGAGACTGCTGCTTCCATTGGCTACAACCTAGGTCTGAGAGTGGCCTTGAGGTATGATAGCAGCCATAATCTGGATCCGGGTGGCCTCGAAGCTCAACAGAGGCTAATAAGCTCAGTTACCAGCTGAGGCTCCCAAGTAGTTTTCAGTTGGAAAGGTCAAAGAGCACTGGGAAAGTCACTTTCCTTCTCTGAGCTTCCCCTATTATCACCTGTAAAATGGGTTCTTACTTCACAGGGTTTTATGGGAATCAAATTTAAAAGTGGGAGCAAAAGGGAAAAAGTAGGCTCTGTACTCAAGAAGGGAGAAGATGATGAAGAGGAGAATAAGAACGGGAACTGTAATTGGGAGCCATTTGGAGGAGGGAGTGCAGAAAAGGTTTGGGTCTGGAGGAAAGGGACCAGGTGTTCTGCTGTGTATAGGTGACTTACAAGGGAAAGACACAGTCCCAGCCCTACATCTGTCATCCTTAGCCCTGCTGTCTCTCTCTTCTTTGTATCAAGTAATGACCAGCCCTGGCACCTCCACTATTGGGTTTCAGATCTCTTCTCTCCCACGGTCTCTCACCAACAGTCTCCGTGTCAATCTCTTAACCCAGCCTCCCTCCATCAATCTATCACCTGGCATCCCAGACCTTCCTAAGACAAATTCACTTTTAGGACTTTTCCATGGCTCACTATCCCCTGCAGGATGAAGGCCAATGAGCGATCAGGTCCTCTGGCCCTGGCCCACCTTGCTGGCCTTACTCTCTCAGTAACCAGCATACTGGCTGTTGTGCACCTCCATGTCTGTCTGCATATGAGCTCCCACTGCCTGAAATGCCCAACCTTCCCTCCAGCCTCCATCCATCTGCAGAGACCTTCCTCAACTCTGTTCTCGGCTCTGCATCACCTCCTCTGTGAAACCTCCCTGAGTCCTTCTGTTACTAGAAAGGGGACCTGGCCCTGCGCAGGTACATCTCGCGCCAGCTGGTAGTGTTGTGGGTTCTTGACTTGTGCAGGAAATATTTCACAACACGAGTCCAGGTGACTTTGAGAGTGTTTACTAAAGCTGAGGACAGGAAACAAGTGAGGGCCTAGGATAGAAAAAACAACAGGAGGGAACCTAGGTGGTGAAGCTTTGGCTCTCTAGAAACTATAGGAAAGAAATGAGCACAGGTGAGGCTGCTGTCAGCTCACTGGAAAGTCAGAGAAAAGGGAGCCTTGGAGACAGGGTCAGGGGTTAGTCCAGGGCAAGATGCCACTGCCCATTGCTCCCCTGGTTGTGAGTCTCATGGGGGTCCTTGGAGTTTAGGAGATGCCTGCCTTTGGAGAAGGAAGAGGGGGAAGGGAAAGGTGCGGGCACGTTCGCTGGAGGGATAGTGACGGCTAGGTCCTTTGTTTCGAGGGTTTTTAAAGGCTAGGAGTTTCAGGAAGGTCTTAGGGGAGATCTCAATAGAATATTCATCAGCTTTTCCAGGTCTATCCTTTCAGGGTTGTGGTCTCTACTGATTGGTCGGTGCCAGAGCAGGGGAGTCATTAGTCACAGCAGCTAGACCTGGCATTGCACACTTGATTTTGTTGCTTTCCTGGGCCTGGAGGTGAAATACAACTGAGGCCTAGATGGTATCTCTAGGGAGGTGACCTTCTGTATCTTGCTGTAAGTTGCTTGGCCAGTTTGTTCAGCTATGTCTTAGTTTCCCCATTCCACTTGCCAAGGAATTTTCCTAGCTTCTTACTCTCCTGCCTCACTGCAGGTAACACCCACTCCTCTCTGCAGACCTGTAAGAAGCTCTGATTTCCGCTGATCTGTGGCCTGGCTACCTTTCCTTCTAGACCAGGCTGTGGGCTCCCTGAGGCTGTATCACCCAATGCAGGGCTGGCAGCCAATTGCTGGGTAATCCAGTGTCTGCAGAACGACTCACCTGGCCTGGAGGCCATATTTCCATCTCAGCTGTGGGGAGCAGTGGGAGGTTAATCTCGGAAATAGATCTGATTATATCACTTCTTTCCCCCAAACTTTCCAAAATGTCCCATCGCACTGAGGAAAAACCCAGTCCTCAGAATCAGCCCCATTATCTCTCCCACCTCACCTTTCTCATTCTGCTCCAGCACCCCATCCCCCAAGCTCCCCGGCTGGGTGTCTGCTCTACCGGCTCCCTCCACCGTGAATGCTCGCTGCCCCCCCACCCGCGCCCCAACCTCCTAACACACACACCCTGGCCACTCCAGGCCTCCTTTGCTTGAACGTCTGTCCACCAGTTTAAAAGTTTACTCCCGTAACTCTTGCAAACTCTCACATCTTGTTTATTGTCTGTCTCTTCTCACTAACTTATCAACTCCTAGAGGGCTGGGATTTTATCTGCTTTGCCCACCACTGTATATCCAGAGAATACAATAGGCCTGGAACCCAAGAAGGAGTTTAGGCAACGTGTGTTAAGCGGCTGAACGTACGAGCGAATGAAATGTTAGCGGGGCCTGCAGGGGAAGCCGGATTTATCCGTCAACCCAAAAGCACTCGGGGGGCGGGGCCTGTGGCTGATGGGAGGGAGGGGCTGGGCGGGGAAGGTGCTGGTCCGAGGGACGTCTGGAGCTGGATTGGCTACGCTCCCACTACGCGGAACGCTAGGGAAGCGGGCCGGCGCTGCCCGGAGGATTTAGGGAAGGGCGCCGGCGCCGCCGGAAGCTGTCGCACAGTTCTCGGCGTCGGGACTGCGAGGTCGTGCCGCGAGGGCCCAGGAGCTGCAATGGAGCCGGCTGATCTGGAACCCGTCTCCGTCGACGCTACGGACTCGTTCCTGGAAAAATTCCAGAGCCAGCCTTACCGTGGCGGCTTCCACGAGGACCAGTGGGAAGAGGTAGGCGGGTCGGTGGGCTCCGCACCCATGTTGGGGCGTCGTGCGAACTTCAGCGGCTCTCAGACTCCGGATCCCTGAGTCTGCCACCAGACTTGTGGTTTCTGCTCGTGTGTTAACAGTCGACCTGGAGGGATTGAGGGTCTTCTTAATGTGTCAGTACGTTTAGGCGTGCAGGTTTTGGAGCCAGACCTGTGACTCCACCAGTCACTGGTTCAGATACAGGGTCAGTTGTTTAACTTCCCGAGTCGTCTGCTGCGTCCGTAAAATTGCCATTAACTGTTGCACGAATCTCATAGGATTGTGGCGAGGATGAAGGAACATTTAGCGCTTAATTAATGATTACTACCACTCCTGTAAGAATGTCACAACTGAAAGAATCTTTAGAGATCATTATTCTACACTCTCATTTTATAGATGCGAAACTGAGGCCTGGATAGGGAGCAGTGTAGCCAATCATGATGTTTTGCAAATCATAATAAGTAAGAAAACTTTGACGAAGAGACTTGGATTTACTCAGTGGCAAATCCCATTTGTATAGTTCATTCTTGTCTTAACAATCTCTAGGAATTTGAAAAGATCCCCCTGTTTATGAAGAAAGCACCATCAGAAATTGATCCCAAGAAGAATCCTGACTTGGCTTGCCTCCAGTCAATTATTTTTGATGACGAGCGACCTCCAGAAGGTATCTTTCATGACTCTAACATTTGTTCTGTGTCTCTATTGAATTGAGGTAACGAATGAGTAGTTCTGGCCCTGGCCCTCGTGGCTGGGTTGGAGCACTGTCACAGAAACAAAGGGTCTTGGGTTCCCTTCCCAGTCAGGGCACAAGCTTAGGTTGTGGGTTTGGCCCAGTCCGGCCCGTGTGAGAGGCAACTGATGGATGTTTCTCTTTTCAATGTCTGTCTCACTCCCTTCCCCTCTCTCTACAATAAATAAGCTGTCCTGGGGTGAGGATTGAAAAAAAAAAAAGTGAGTCGTTCTGATTTATAACAACTAGTAGTTAGCCTGAGATAATGTGTCACTCTTTATTCCACATACAGTTTTTTGGATACCCTCTAAATGCTAGACATTGGGGATACAGGGATGAGGACTGACCTCAAATGTCATGCTGCAGTGGGTAACGAGATTGTCCTAAAGAATCAGGACAAACCTGCATGATAAGTGCCAACATGTAGCTATATACTAGGTGCTGCTGGAACACTGAATTTGCAGGAATTTGAACTGAATCCCAGCAATTTTGTAGGCTCTTACTAGGGTGAGGGTGGAATTTGCATTCCAGGAATAAAAATAACATAAGCAAAAGCAGAAGTTTAATACCCTCCCCCACTTCTCTTTTCAGTAATCAAAAAAAAAAAAAAAAAAAGTTAGGGTAGGTATGCATTTTTCCTGTATGCTTCCTATTTTGTATGCACTTAATAATCTACCTTGTAAAATATTTGGAATTTGATTATAGCATTAGGTACCCATGACTTTGTTTCTCCGTTTTAATACCTAGGTTTATAGTACTTTTTGGGTTATGTTTCCCTATTGGTTTCTTCTGTTTGGTTTATTATGTTTCATTGTTTCATGATTTAGAATATTTTTAAAGGATATTTTATTGATTATGCTATTGCAGTTGTCACATTTTTTTCCCCTTCCCTTTATTCTGCTCCACCTTGCACCACCCCTCCCACGAGCATTCCCCCCACCTTAGTGCATGTCCATTGGTTGTATATGTAAGTTCTTTGGTTTCTTCATTTCCTATACTATTATTAATGTCCCCCTGTCTATTTTGTACCTACCATTTATGCATCTTAGCCCCTGTACCTTTTCCCCCATTCTCACCCCTCCCCCTCCTCACTGATAATGCTCCATGTGATCTTCATTTCTGTTCCTGTTCTAGTTGTTTGCTTAGTTTGTTTTTGTTTTTAGGTTCAGTTGTTGATAGTTGTGGATTGTCATTTTACTGTTAATAGTTTTGATCTTTTTCTTAGATAAGTCCCTTTAACATTTCATATAAGAAGGGCTTGGTGGTGATGAACTCCTGTAACTTGACCTTATCTGGGAAGCACTTTATCTGCCTTTCCATTCTAAATGATAGCTTTGCTGGATAGAGCAATCTTGGATATAGGTCCTTGCCTTTCATGACTTTGAATACTTCTTTCCAGCCCCTTCTTGCCTGTAAGATTTCTTTTGAGAAATCAGCTGATAGTTTTATGGGAAATCCTTTGTAGATAAATGTCTCCTTTTGCTGCTTTTAAGGTTCTCTCCTTATCTTTATCTTGGGTAATGTAATTATGATGTGCCTTGGTGTGTGTTTCCTTGGGTCCAACTTCTTTGGGACTCTCAGACCTTCCCGGACGTCCTGGAAGTCTATTTCCCTGGCCAGACTGGGGAAGTTCTCTTTCATTATTTTTTCAAATAAGTTTTCAATTGTCTTGCTCTTCTCCTTCTGGCACCCCTATGATTTGGATGTTGAAACGCTTGAAGTTGTACCAGAGGTTCCTAAGCCTCTCCTCATTTTTTTGAATTCTTGTTCCTTCATTTTGTTCTGGTTGAATGTTTATTTCTTCCTTCTGCTCCAAATTGTTGATTTGAGCCCAGTTCCCTTCCCTTCACTGTTGGTTTCCTGTATATTTTTATTTATTTCACTTTGCATAGCCTTCACTTTTTCTTCTGTTTTGTGACCATACTCAACCATTTCTGTGAGCATCCTGATTACCAGTGTTTTGAACTCTGCATCTGATAGGTTGACTGTCTCTTCCTTGCTTAGCTGTTTTTCTGGATTTTGATCTGTTCTTTCATTTGGGCCATATTTTTTTGTCTTGGTGTTCCTGTTATGTTGTAAGAGGCGGAACCTTAGGTATTTTCCAGGGTGGGACAACCCCACATCTTTGTGTTGTATGTAGGGGAGGGATCATAGAGGGAACAGTCCCACTTGCTCCACTCTTGGCTAGCTTTCAGCCACTTCCCTCGTTACCCACAAGTAAATCGGACCCTTCTGGTGCTGATTCCTGGATGGGTGGGTTTTTGTACATTCTAGGACCCTGTGGGTCTCTCCAGTGAACTGTCCTGTGAGGCTGGGAGTTTCTTTTGCTGCCACAACCCCCACAGATTTTTACAGCCAGAGATTGTGAGGGTTTCTTTTTCTGTGCTTGTCTTGCTCCCTAGTTGTTCCTCCTCGTTTACCTGCAGGCAAATGTGGGATCACGTGGCCCTCCAGCTGCCACCTTGCTGCACATCCTCTCTGCCTCGGTTGCCTGGCTCTGCCCCTCCTGCCAGTTTGGATGAAAGTTTCTTCTTTAACTCCTTGGCTGTTGGACTTCCATACAGTTTGATTTTTTTGGAAGTTTGTGTTTTTTGTTTTTAAATTGTTGTCCTCCTTTTAGTTGTGTGAAGAGACAAAGTATATCTACCTACCCCTCCATCTTGGCCAGAAGTTCGATTTAGAATATTTTTAATGAGCCTTTTTAAAAATGGGAAATAATGATTATTTCTTTTTTTATTTGCAGAACAGGCCAAGACCTATAAAGACGAGGGCAATGATTACTTTAAAGAAAAAGAGTATAAAAAAGCTGTTACTTCATATACTGAAGGCTTAAAGAAGAAATGTACAGACTCTGATTTGAATGCTGTTCTCTATACCAACCGGGCCGCAGCACAGTACTATCTGGGTAATTTATTCCATTGTTGAGTACTTTTAAAGAGTTAACTTATGATAAAGTCATTACAATAGCCAGTGGAGAGTTTGAGAATGTCAGGAAGAGGAGCTAGTTATCCCAGATACCTAGGATTGTTTACTCTAATTGAATTCTGATCTTCCTGGTAGACTTGGTGAAAAGAGAAACCAGATAGATTGCATAATTTTTGCTATCTGAACCAAATGAGTGACATCAAATACCTTAATACATGAAGTGGTATGATCTGGGATTTTTTTAGCCCAAATGCTTCTGTTTCCTAAAAAAAAAAGTCATGTTCTTCCCCCCAACCCCCAATCCTTCTCAAGGATGCTACTGTAGAAGGATTAAGGTAATAGAGAACTTTGTGTGAGAGAGACTATATTATCTAAGGGAGAATTTCTCAAAGAGTATTCTGTGGAACCATTGAAATAAAAAATATTCTTTGGACAAGTAAGTTTGGACAGTGCACATTGGTATGTTAAGGACTCTCAGATAACCTACAGCAAAGAACCTTGCCCTGTGATTCTCAGGTTTTGTAAACCACCTCTTTAAGTAACACTTAATCAGCATGCAGTACTGTTCTGCAGATGTGACTTTGGGAAACACTGATTATTTACTGGTGACTAGCCTTGGTCCTTTTGAACCCATGTCTCTCATCGAAGAGTTGAGAGAGGACTTGGGAATGACCACAGGCGTTCTGAGGGGCTGGGAGAGGATAAGCCTCGCAGTCTGTCAGGGATGAGTCTGTTGGGACTCATTACCATTTGAGAAGGGTTTCTCCTCAACTATCTTCTGTTCCACCTCTTCTCACTTAGCCTGTCTCATTGTAAAATTCTAAAAATTAAGAGCGGTATAGCACTTTAGAGATTATCTGGGCCAGGCAGTGCCTTCATTTTGCATAGGCCCAGAGAGAGCGACCCTTTGGTGAAAGCCTGAACCTGGACCAGAAACCCAGTCTTCTCATTTCTGGAGGACTACATTTTCATCATTCAGTAGACAGTATTCTGTGCCAGGTACTGGTGTCATAGAGATGAGTAAGGCCTGACTTTTACTGTTTAGTGCTAGGCACTGCACTGTGATCAAGAGCTACATAGTTCCTTTCCTTGGGGAACTTAAGGGATGCCATTTATAGGGCTAATAAGAATAAGCACCTTGCAAGGAAAAAAAACGTGTGTGTGCGGGGACACCAGAGGAGCAGATGCCTAACAGTGAGAGCCATTCCTTAAATATGTCACTGGTAGGGCTTACAAAGCACTTTCACATTTGTTATCCCTCTTGACCTCATTGCAACTATGTAAAGTAGGATAAATTCTTAGGAGAGTATTGTTGGGTCAAAGTGTACCCACAAAATGCATGCTAACTTGTTCTCTAATTCACCATTGGAGTGCCCTTTTCCCATACCCGAATATTATCAATTATTATCTGTACCAATTTCATGTTAATTTTAATTTCTCATTATTCATGATGTTGAACATTTTTTCATGTGCTTATTAGCTAGCCAGCTATAGTTCTGTGGACTGGTTGCCTGATATTATAAACATTTCTAAGGCTTTTGATGAGCACAATTATATATTTTTTTCTAAAAACAGTTCTGATTTATATTTATCCAAGATTGTACAAGAATGTCTTTGTCTCTATGCACAACATTTTGGAAATATTCTGATCTTAAAACTTGTTCCTTGTTTAATTAAATGATGTTTCATTAGGCAATTTTCGTTCGGCTCTCAATGATGTGATGGCTGCCAGAAAGCTAAAACTCCGCCACCTCAAAGCAATCGTAAGAGGTACGTCTTGTAGAACTACAGTATGATTGTAAGTAAGGAAAAGGTAGCACGCACTGTACCAAAATTTGAGACATTTTAAGCTTTGATATTAAGGTGCTAAGATACTAATGAAGTCACTTTATTTATACAACCTTTATGTTAAGTTCCAGGTCCTTATCAATAACAACATGCCATTTTAAAAAGAAGTCCCCAGAGAATAATCTAACTCTGTGTGTTTTAAGAATTTGTAGAGAAATTGGGATTCCTCATTTTAAATTATTAAAGAAAAAAAATAAAGCAGTTCCAAAGCCACAATCCAATTTTTTTTTCCAGTTTTTTTTTAATTGAGCCCTGGCCTATGTGGTTCAGTTGGTGGGAGTGTCATTCTGTAAACAGAAAGGTCATGGGTTCTATTCCCAGTCAGGACACATGCCTTGGTTGCAGGTTCGGTACCTGGTTGGGGCATGTACAAGAGGCAGCCAATTGATGTTTCTCACATAGATGTTTCTATCCCTCTCTCTCTCCCCCCTTCCCTTGTCCTCTCTCTCTAAAATCAGTGAGCATGTTCTCGGGTGAGGATTAAAAATTTTTTGTTGATTGAAAGGTGAGATCTTTAAATGCAATGTTAATGTTAATTAAAAGATAAGTTATGCAACCTGTGCTGATAACTCTGATGCTGAGATGTCCCCAGATTATTTTTTCTCTTGTAGTCTGACCTTTCTATATAATAATAGTGCTTTTATTACTTTAATACTTCACTTTTTTTTTTGAGAAGTTTAAAGGCGCTTTGCAAACTTTAATTTATTCCTCAGATATTAATTTTCCCTATATCTCCATGGATCAATTTAAAATGCTTTTTCTAAGTTATGCTTCTTTAGATATTGATGATTGGGGGTGGTAAGTAGATCCATGTTCCTCATAGCGAGAGAAGGTACTGAATAAAGATTGGCAAGTAAATTGCGTGTAGTCCTATGGAATTGGCCTGAGGCTGGAAGTCTGTAATCCTCAATTGAACTGTCAGTTTTACCTTACTGTGTGACCTTGGCAAGACATCCAGTCTGAGTACCAGTTTGTTCATCTTTGAAAGATGAAGTTGGATTCTGTTGACATCTAAGCACTTAGAGTTCTCCTATTTTGAAATTCTGTGGAAATCCCAAAGAGGCTAACTGGAGAAAATTGAGGACGATTAAAGGAGAGGCAGCTTAAACTGGTAGTCATCAAGAACAATTTTAGGAGAGACCTGTCTTTGGTCTTGCCACTGCTTTTATTAATGGCTGAAGCAAATTCAGACTCCATTTAAAAAAGTCACCTGAGATGGGCTTTATTCTTCTCATTTGCAATGAAGAACCTGAAGCTCAGAGATGGTCAGTCCTTTGTCTAATTCCTAGTTGGTAAATGACAGAGCCAGATTTCCAGCCCAGATCTGTCTGATTCCAAGGCCTGTGCTTTTTGCCACTAAGCTGTAGTCTTCCTTACTTTAAGTGTCTTAAGACTAGGAAGGCTCACAGGAGTTTTGAGCTGAGAGGACTAGAGATCCTCTGATCTAAGATACGAAAAAGTAGTGTTCTTAGTCTTGGGAATACAGTACAAGGAGCTTTACATGCTTTCCCCACAGGCCGCTGGCTGGCAGTTAGTGGAGGTGGGGATTCCTTCTCAGGGGGGCTCTTCCCATGCATGTTTTCCATGGATCCTAAAGGGTTCTGGGTTCTGCAGGTGCCTTGTGCCATCTGGAACTGAAAAACTTTGCCGAGGCTGTGCGCTGGTGTGATGAGGGGCTGCAGATTGATGCCAAAGAGAAGACACTTCTGGAAGTAAGGGCTAAAGCCGACAAACTGAAGGTTGGTGGCAAAATCAGCAGCCATTTGGCATTTAATTAGCATTAATGAATTAATTAGCATCCCTCAGATTGTGTCTTTTGGCCATCGTAAACTTTTTCTTCTTTAAAAATAAAACCCAAGAACCAACAAGTTCTAAACAAGATGTCTAAGCCCTCATAGAGGCAGGTGGGCTTCTATGGCAGGCCACTGTCAGTGATGATGCCCAGGTCAACAGACCCCCATCAGGCAGGCCCACCGAGAGATCCAGCACACAGGGAGCCATGAGCATTCTGGGGGACACACCAAAGGAAGTGTTGACCCGAGCTGTATCTCTAGTTGTCACAGAAATGGAAACAGAAAGGAAAGCAATGTCAGCAGATGAGCTGACTCCACAAATGACAAAAGTAAAAAGGAGACATAGAGCCACCTGAAATTGAGTCAAGTGAAGAGACGAGTGATATATTAACTGACACAAAGGAAATTAGAGATTGTCTACCGGAGAGAATTGATTCTGTCTTTGGTGCAATTGATAGGTTGGCCAAGTTCATGGAGGCTAAGTATAAATCACTAGAGACAAAAGTAGATAAGTTACAGACTGATGTGTCTAATGTATTCCATACCAATGCAAGGTACTTCAACTAGGAGGTGGTATCCACGTCATCCAGGTAGAACCAACCCTCTGCTGGCTGTCACCATTTCCTTTTGCTTTGCTTTCATGCCCAAAGCAAACCTCTTAACAAATGAGATGATTGGTAATCTTTCTGTTTAATTTATTTTCTCAATTACAAATCAAGAAAATTTGTAAATAGTGTACAAGGGCATATGTCTTTGAAAATATACTTTCATTGTACAGAATCAATTCGATAAAAGTTTGTTTATCACTGTGTGAAAGCCTTGTTAGCTGTGGATAATACTGGGCTGGCCAAAAAGTTATTATTTTTTTTTTCTATATGATGGCTCTAAGCAATGGTTAGTTGTCTTTAACTTCATTTGAAACAATTTTGTTAAGATTGTATTGTGACAGCTGTCATGTCAGCATGTATTTAAAAAAAAACTTATCAAAATCGGTGAATTTTTATGTAGCATTTTTAATATTGAAGATAGAAGAAAATATGCAACATTTTCAGCATATACTTTATTATTTCAAGAAAGGTAAAAACGCAACTGAAACAAAAAAAGATTTTGTGTAGTGTATGGAGAAGGTTCTGTGACTGATTGAAAATGTCAGAAGTGGTTTGCAACGTTTCATGCTGGAGATTTCGAGATATTGAGGACGATCAACGTTATATACCACACAGGGATCGGCTGACGTACTCAAAATATCCAAATTAATAAAGTTATTGGTGAAAATGAAAAGTGTCTCTTATTTTACAGAAAAACTAAATGGACTTTTTGGTCAACCCAGTAATATAACACGCTGGGACAACAAATGTAAGAATGATAACTCTGGGAGAGACACGCTTCTCTAATTACAAGTGGAAGAGCCAGATTAGGTTAAATACTTTGCTCTGATTAAATCTTCATAACGTAGATATCAAAACTTTGATTTTAAAGTTTTTTAAAATGTGACTTTCTTATCTGAAAAATAATCTGTTATAGTTTTCTATGTATTACACATTTCATTTTTTTTCTTTTAGTTTTTTTTGGTGGTGGTGGTTTTATACATTTCAAAGGGGAGGGAATAGTCCCAAAATGTAAATAATGGAAGAGGTGGATTTCAATTTAACATAAATTCTGTTTTCAGATCCCGATGTTTATTCCTGAGCAAAGTATTTAGTACCTAGATATGACGAAGTATTTAGATATGACGAGGCTGATTTTAAGCTAACAAGTGAAGGTATAGTACCCCCTCAGAAGAATCCTGCACTCCGAAACTCTACAAAGAAAAATTTCCATACCTTCTGTCACTCCATCTAAAACCTTAAAATCTCTACAGAATTACACATAAACACTGTCAGGCTTTAAATGATTGCCTATTTAAATTTTTATACCTACCACTACTTTAATTTGTGCCAAGTTAGCAAATTAGCAAAATTTCAGTAGTCAAACATACTAGCAAACTGACTCCATATTGCTTTTGGTGTCAGAGTATGCCTCTGTGTATCTTGGTCATAGCCAAAAGGCCAAGAAGCAGTACCTCTGTGTATCTAAAAATACATAATGCGGAAGTGTTCGCAAAGAAAAGAAAGTATCTGCTTTCTCATTAGGTTACTGAAATAATTTAATGCATACTATGACTTGTGTTACTGATACGAGTTTTAATGTAGAGGAGACTGTAGTGTACCAAGTGATACGCCAGTGTTTCATTACATTCATTTATAGAAAAAAAATCATTGTTCTTGATATGAATGCATAAAAACCTATTTTGTAAAGTAAACTGCTTATGGGGAGGGAGAGTTTGCTTTAAAAAATGTTTCACTACCTACTATAGAATCCATATTCAAAAATTGCATTTCCAAGACACTTATGGTAGTTTTTCTACCAAACTCCCTATTACATCAAGAGAGTATACTTCTGGAAAGAGAAATAATTTGGCGAGAATGTCTTACTACCCCCTGACTACCCCCTAAGCTTGGTTAAAATTTTAACAGACAAATGTTTTGCAGCACTTTATAATAGGCTGGGGATGGGTGAAGGTGCGGGTTATGTTTGGAAAATGCAGAAAAGCCAGAAGTGAGAAAGACATGTTTCACTCTATAAAGATTCCTTAAAAATTAATCTTATCAAAGCTGATAGATATTTTTATTTTAGAACTATGTTGTTAAATACTACTTCGAATGTTAGAACTATTTTGATCTGTTTATATACTGTGGTTGAAAGAATGTCAATTAAATCCCTTTCTCCAAAAAGGCTTAGACCTCAACATGCTCTATTTAATGCATCATGTTTCTAATGACATGCTTTACATACTATCACTGTTCGTTGCAAAGATATAATACTCCGTGAAATTGATGTTACTACAGAAAGTTTGATAAGATAATTTAAAATTTTTTAAAAAAATGTATTGATGAGAGAGAGAAAGAGACAGAGAGAGAGAGAAACATTGCTTCGTTGCTTCACCCATCCATGCATTCATTGGTTGTTTCTTCTATGTTCCTTGACCCACAACCTGGGTATATCAGGATGATGCTCTAACCAACTGAGCTAGCCAGCCAGGGCTGATAGGATAATTTGTTTGCAATAACTTTTGATTACATCTCGTGTGAGATTTATGTTTCATGCTGACAGTGTCTACATAAATGTCTAAGCCTGATATTCTAAAACCTCAGATATACCTAGTGGATAGTAACCGTTAACAGATGACTAATTTCTGTTTGTTTCATTTTATGAAATTTCAGGTGTTTAGTTCAATGGTAATATTGATTATACATTCACTGCATTAAATATAAATGAATAAATAAATTAATTAAATAAACCCCAAACCAGTCCCAACCATTTGGAATGCTGGAGGATACAGATGAGTAAACAAAGAAGTCAATAAATAGTTACAGTGTGGTAGAGGTAAGCAAGAATATATAGTAGTGGTATCTGACTTTGCCTTGACCAAGAGCAGGGCAGAGATGGGGGTAGCAAGGTTTGCTGAAAGAGGAGATGCCTGAGTCTAATCTCTTTGAAATTGAGCAAGAGTTTACTCTGGAGGTGGGGGGTTGAAGAAACATTCCAAACAGAAGAAAGCAGAATTGATTAACCTTGAGTAAGTTCCTGGTATTTCTGAAACTCAGTCCCCTCTTTGAAAATAGTAAACATATACCTCAAAGTGTATATATTATGAAGATTAAGTGAGAATGTGTGTGTATGTACATTTGTACACTTAGCACATTTCTTAGACATGCAGTAAGGACTACATAAATTTGTGGCTAGTGTGTCTTGAATAAGTAAGAAATGGCGTAAGACAATCATAGTCTGTCTGGTTGTGGGGGTGGTGGTGTAGAGGAATGTTTGTCAAAAACAATTAGAGGCAGTTATTTGAGATTTCAGTTGCCTGGGGCAATAGATAACAGCTGATGCAAACAGTAGGTTTACCAGAACACTTAAAAGAAAAAGCTGGGTAATGAGATTCTGTAAGACGTTTGTAAAGCTCTAACATATTCCTAGGAATCTAGAAGGTCACATGTGTGCCCAGGGCCATGCATGTGCTCAGGAAGGATCTGAGAAGGCCCTAACCTCTTCTCTCTGGTTGATTTGGAAGTTCTGTGCAAGGCAGGAAATGAAGGTTAAGGCTGAATTATAAATTGCTTGGGTGAGAGTTGGAGGTATGCTCCAACGTGCACACACACAGTCCCTTGTTAAAGGCTGGGAGACTTTCTGGCTTCAGGCATTTAGGGAAATTTGTGTAGGTATTAGCTGACCACTGAGCTAACTGATTGGAGACTTTAATGGTCACATACAACAGAGAATACTGGCTTTATAGAATTAGTCCAGAAAAGTCACTTAAACGACAGCAGCAACAGCAAACACTGCAGGGGTGGAAGGACAGAGAATATGATTTCCAGAGTTGCCACATTATACTTAAAATACCCAGTTTTCAACAAAAAATTACAAGACATGCAAAGAAAGAAGAAAATACAGCCATACACAGAAAAAAATAATTCAAAAGAAATTGTCCCTAAGGAAGCCCAGACATGGGACTTACAAGTCAAAGACTTTAAACCAGCTATTTTAAGTATGTTCTAAGAATAAAAAGAAACAATGTCTGAAGAACTAAAATGAATATGAGAATTATATCTCACCAAATAGAAACTATCAATAAAGAAAAACTATAAAGAACCAACTGAAAATACTGTTGTTGAAAAGTACAGTAATTGAAATGCCATTCACTAAAGGGCTCAGCAGTAGAACTTTGAAAATAGGTTATTTGTGATTACCCAGTTTGAGGACCAGGAAAAAAGAAGAAAGGTGAAGAGAGACTCCTGCAGAATGTCATCAGGAACGCCGTCACAGGCATAATGGGAGTTCCAGGAGAGAGAGAAAGGGGCAAAAGAGTATATGAAGAAATAAGGGCTGAAAACTTCTCAGATTTGATGAAAAACAGTAATCTACCCTCCCAAGAAGCTTAACAAACTCCAAGTAGGACATACTTAAATCTATACCCAGACACATCATAAACTGTTGAAAGTCAAAGACAAAGAAGAGAATCTTCAAAACATCAAGAGAGAATTGACTCTTCACATATAAGAGGTCCTCAATAAAATTAAAAGTTGATATCATATCAGAAACCATGGAAGCCAAAAGGCAATGGGATGACATTCAAAGTGCTGAAAGAAAAGACCCAGCCAAGAATTCTATATCCAGCAAACCTGCCCTTCAGAAATTAATGAGAGGAAAAAGTAAAACTACCTCTATTTGCAAATGATATGATCTTATATAGAGAAAATCCTAAGGAATCCACTAAAAGAACTATTAGAACTAATAAATTAGTTCAGCAAGCTGGTAGAATACTTCAATATACAAAAATCATTTGTATTCCATAGAGTTTTAATAAACATTCCCAATATGAAATTAAGAAAACAGTTTCATTTGTAATAGCATTAAAAAGAATAAAATTTTAGGGACAAATTCAACAAAAGTATCATAAAACTTATACTTTGGAAATACAGAATGTTGTTGAAAGAAACGAAACCTAAATAAGTGGGAAGACATCCCATGTTCATGGATCAGGTCTTACATTGTTACGATGACAGTACTCTCCAAATTGGCATATAAATTCAGTGCGCTGTACATCCAAATCCCAGTTGGCTTCTTTTTAATCCACACCTGAGGATATGTTCATTGATTTGAGAGAGAGAGGGAAACATCCATCAGTTGCTCCCCTGAATGTCCCCCAACCGGGAATCAAACCTGCAGCCTTTTAGTGCTTGGGATGATGCTCCAACCAACTGAGCAACCCAGCCAGGGCAAAGACAACCCAATTTTTAAAAAATATATTTTACTGATTATGCTTTTACAGTTGTCCCAATTTTTTTTCCTTTCTCCCCTCCACCTGGTAGCCCCCTTCCCTCCAGCAGCCACCCACCACCCCCTACTTAGTTCATGTCCACGGGTCGTGCATGTTAATTAAGTTCTTCGGCTTCTCCCTTTACTGTAGTTTTAACACCCCCCTGTCTATTTTGTTCCTACCAATTATGCATCTTGATCCCTACACTGGTTCCCTCTTTTTCCCCCTTTCCCTCCCAGCTGACAATACTCCAAATGATCCCCATACCTGTGATTCTGTTCCTTTTCAGGTTGTTTGCTTAGTTAGTTTTTGTTTTTGTTTTTTAGATTCAGTTGTTGATAGTTGAATTTGTTGTCATTTTAAAGTTTATAGTTTTAGTCTTTTTCTTAAATAAGTCCCTTTAACATTTCATGTCATAATGACTTGGCGATGATGAACTCCTTTAGCTTTACTTTGTCTCGGAAGCACTTTATCTGTCCTTCCATTCTAAATGAGAGTTTTGCTGGATAGAGTAATCTTGGTTGTAGGTCCTTGCTTTTTATCACTTTAAATACTTCTTTCTAGCCCCTTGTTTGCAAAGTTTCTTTTGAGAAATCAGCTGACAGTTTTATGGGAACTCCTTTTTAAGTAACTCTGCTTTTCTCTTGCTGCTTGTAAGATTCTCTCCTTATCTTTAACCCTTGGCATTTTAATTATGAAGACAACTCAATTTTTAAGTGGACAAAGGATATGAGTAGACATCTATTTAAAGATGATACACAAATGGCCAACAGACACACCAGAGATACTCAATATCATTAGTCACCAGGGAAATATAAATCAAAACTCCAATGAGATACTATTTCACACCCACAGGATAGCGGTACTTTTTTGAAAAAGGAAAATAACAAATGGTGAGAATATGGAGAAATTGAAACCCTCATGTGTTGCTAGTAGAAACGTAAAATGGTAGCCACTATGGAAAACAATTCCTCAAAAGTGAACCATAGAATTACCATATAACCTAATACTTCCACTCCTAGGTATATACCCCAAAGATTTGAAAACAAATACTTGTACATGAATTGTCATAGCAACACTGTTCATTCTGGCTAAAAGTGGAAACAGTCTAAATGTCTATCAACGAAAGATAGATAAAATGTGGTATGTCGATATAAGGGAATATAATTCAGCCATAAAACAGAATGTAGTACGGATACATACCATAGTGTATGTATGAACCTCAAAATACTATGTTTTGAAAGAAGCCAGATATAAAAGATCACATATTGTATGATTCCATACAGGATACAAAACATCCAACGTAAGTCAACCTATAGACAGAAAGCAGATAAGTGGTTGCCCGGGGTTGGGGGATGGGATAAATTGGGACTGGCTGCTAAAAGGGCTTGGGGTTTTTTTTTAGGTATTTAAAAGTCTTGGAACTAGATAGAGGTGATGATTGTGCAATATAGTGAATAAGTGAAATGCCACTGAATTGTTTACTTTAAAATAGCTAATGGTTAATTTTATGTCATGTGAATTTCACCTCAGTTTTTTAAAATGAAAAAATACATACTAACCATAAAAGACAAAATTATGGATAAAATAGGACTTAAGTCAAAACCTAGAAAAAGATGTATCATTAAGAAGAGTGAAAGGCAAGCCACAGAATGGGAGAAAATATTTATAATACCAGTATCTAATAAAGGATTTGTATCCAGAACACACAAACAAATCAGTATGAAAGTATATAAAATGTGCCAAAAGAAACACACCTCTCAAAAGATTTACAATAAGCACGTGGAAATATGTATAGTATCATTAGTTATCAGGGAAATGCTGATTAAACCTCAGCAGGATCCCAGCTGACAAGACTGACAATACCAAATAGTGACAAAGGTGTGGAGCAACTAAAATTCTAATACACTGCCCATGTGACATAGAATGATATGACTATGTTGGAAATCAGTTTGGCAGTTTCATATACATTATCTTTAGACCCAGCAGTTTCACTCCTAGGAATTTACCTAGGAGAAATTAAAACAAGTTTATAAAAAGACTTGTATGGGAATGCTCATAGCCTGTTTTATTTATAATAACCCAGAAATAGGCCTTGTATCCAATAACAGAAGAACAGGTAAGTGAAGTTGTGTATTTATACCATGGACTATCACTTGGCAATAAACAGAAACCTATAGTGGTGAGATGGGAGGTAGAGTAACTGCAAAGGTGCATGAGAAAATTTTCTGGGGATAGAAACATTCTCTGATTGGAGTATTGAGTACTCAGGGTATACATTTGTCAAAACTTATCAAACTATACATTTAAAATTTGTAAATTATACCTCAACAGAGTTGATTTAAAAAAAGGGGTCAGCAAACCCATAGTTCAGGGCTCCTCTGACCTGACCTGGTGGCTGTTCTACTTGATGTGTGCTACCGAGATCCCAAACTTTAGGTGAGACAGCAGGAAACCATACTCACCCACTTGCATCCTGTAAATCAGTAAACATGAGACAGAATCCAAGTCATTCTTTATCATCCACTTTAATCATTCTCTATTGTGGACCAGACACTGGTCAAGTGTAGATCTACTAGGAAGGCAGAATTGGATATAGTTCTAATGGTATCCATGGGTGGGGCACTCATGATGGTGTCATCAAACTTGCTAACAGCAGACAGGATTTTTGGAGCTCTCATGGCAGACTGGATTGGAGAAGAAATGACCAAGAATTATCAGCCCATATCTCCCTGAAAAGATACTTTGTCCACAAGTGAAAAAAAAGATCTGTTAACCTTTCTGGGGCGTTTATGGGGAAGTAGATGGATGGTTGGTGCTATATTTTAGAGCAGGGGTCAGCAAACTGACCCACAGGCCATATCCAGGGCTGTTTATGCACACCCTATGAACTGAGAATAGTTTGCTATCAACAAGACCAGACACTATATGATAGAGACCATACATTGTCTGCAAAGCCTAAAACATTTACTCTGGCCCTTTACAGAAGGGGTTTGCTGATTCCTGTTAATCTACAGTCTTGAGGGTAAGAGCAATGTCAACTCAGTTTGGGTAGATTAGCAGGAGAGGGAAATTTAAATTATATTTCTGCCAGATTAGGTAGACTAACAGCAGTTTTCTCTCACGGATTATAATTGTGCAAAAGACAGAGCCTCTGATAAGTTCTTGCACTGGGTTTTCCCAGCCATCCTAGTGAAACCAAAATGCCCCATAGTGGAAAAAGAAATACCCTGGCTGGCTGGCTGAGTTGGTTGGAGTATTGTTTTGTAAACCAAAAAGGTTGTGGGTTCGATTCCTGGTCAGGACACATGCCTAGGTTGCAGGTTTGGTGCCTGGTTGGGGCACGAACAAGAGGCAAGCAAGTGATATTTCTCTCTCACATTGAGGTTTCTCTCCCTCTTCCTCCTTCCCCTCCCTCTAAAATCAGTAAGCATGTCCTCAAGTGAGGATTAGAAAGGAAGGAAGGAAGGAAGGAAGGAAGGAAGGAAGGAAGGAAGGAAGGAAGGAAGGAAGGAAGGAAAGGAAGGAAAAAAAAATGCCCCATAGTGGTATCCAAGCAATGTCAGTCCCTTTACCAAGAATACCCTTTCTCCTTCCGGTGGACTGGACCCTCCCTTGCCTATCTAAACCCACCTCCCCAAAGGGGCAGAATCGGTTACTCCTTCCTCTGTTTCATAGCACTTGGTTCACACCACAAGGTAATGCAAACCTTTTACTTGTCTGACCCTCTCAGTAGACTGAGCTCCTTGGGTACAGGAACTGTAGATTTTTAAATTTCTGCTGCCACTGGTCCTGGTACCCAGACATGGGCTTTTTAAATGTTTATTGAACTGAATTCGGCCACTGGCATCCCTTGACATAGAAACCTGGATTGGATAGAGACAAGAGATGGTAATTTAGGAACAGGCTGGGTAACAAGAGGAAGCAAATTCCCTAGAGCTGATGGATCTGAATTTCATTTTCAGCGAACTGAACAGAGGGATATGAGGAAAGCCAAGTTAAAAGAAAAGAAGGAGCAGAACGAGAATAAGGCTTTACTCCAGGCCATCAAGGTGAGTTCTCAACCCTTATGCCCATATGGCCTTGTTAAATCCACAGATCCCGAGACCTCCTGGGAATGTTTCTTGGGATGCTTTACCGGAATGAATTCATTTTCTCTCCATGTGATGAAGGGGCTCTGGAGTCAGACTCCTTGAGTTCAGTCAGCTGTCCTACTTGTGTACATGTGTTGGTTTCAGGTAACCTGTACTGAGTAGATGCTGTGGGTTAAGCATCATTTAGTCTTCACAGAGGTAAAGATGCCTCACACAGCTAATGTTGGTCGGAGTTAGGTCCTTGATCTAAATGAATGTTGTCTGATCCAAACTCCGCTTTTATCTGGTAAGCCAGCCACTTGGTGAGCCTTGGCTTACTTGGTCTTGGTCTTCACAAGGAGGTAACACCTGTTATGAGAGAGTGGGGTACATTCTTGGTTTCATTCTTGGGCGAGTTAAATTATGCACCCATTTAAGTGACTTGCTGACTTTGAGAACATTACACTACTAAGATGCACTCCATTAGTCCCTCCCCACAACAAGCAGACTGTTAATACATATTAACAGGTTAAACAAAATGGAATATTCCTGATTCTCCATCACTCAGAATCAGGGATTTGGTCATTTTCTAAAATGTAGAATATTGGGATGCCCAGGCATTTGTACACAGACCTTGTTTTGATTCTCTCCTTTAGTCTAACTGCATCTCAGAAACTTCACTATACAAAAGACAGTGTATTACACAAAGCCATATATACTATGACCAATAGTTTAAAGCAGAGGTCAACAAATTGCAGCTCTGCCTGTATGTTTATGTATTACCTATGGCTGTTTTCATACTACAGTGCCAGAATTGAGTAGTTAACTTCAACATACACCATTTGACCCACAGAGCCTAAAATATTTATCTAACCCAAGGAAAAGTTTGCAAACCCCTGTTAGGAGATACCATCAAAGGCAATTTTGATTGCATGTAATTTTCTTCTCATTTGTAGCCTGAGGAATCTGTACACAAACGTAGGAGTGACTCTACTATTCAGGCTTTAGATTTATCCTTATTCCCATGATATAGTCAAGATTAAGTCATTGTGCATTATCTTTAGTGTTCTGTTCCTAGCTAAACTGAAGCATTTCCATTTTTGTTCATGCCACATGCTTAATCTTTTTTGTGCCTTTTTGTACATGCCGTTCCTTGGGGTGGAATCCCCTTCCACCTTCCCCCACTCCTACTTTTCCGCCTTTTGAAGTAGAAATTCCCCAGTCACTTCCAGCCCTCAGACTGAACTAATTATTCAGTCTGCAGTTCCACAGCTTTACTTCTGTGTATTATATTCATTTCCATAGGTCCCTCCCCACTAGACCATGAGCAAGGTCTTGAGGGCAAGAACCATGTCTAGCTCATCTCTGTTGTGGTAGATGTCTGGGGAAGTTGAGTTAAACAAATCATGCCCCCTATGTGCCAGGCCTCAGGGGTAATGAAGATGAATCAGGGAGCTTGCAGTGTTCTGGTTTCCCTATTTAAGTGAAATGGGTTTGCATCTTTCCACACAGTAAGGTTGCTTTGTGTTTCTGTCTTTACTCCAGGCTAGGCACATCAAGCTAGTCTATGAAGCTGCCGGTGAAGATGAAGATTCAGCCTCAGAAGGTCTGTGTAAACTCCTGGACGGGCTCAGCTTTGAGAACCCCTATGGAGCCAGGCTGAGTATAGATGACCAGGGCAGACTGAGCTGGCCTGTGCTCTTTCTGTACCCAGAGTATGCGCAGTCGGACTTCATCTCTGCTTTTCATGAGGACTCCAGGTACTTGCTTGCCCAAGAACCTCTGCTCTTGATTGGCATGTCCTTTTCCTGCTGTCTCTGCAGGAGGGACAGGTGGATTTCTGGTTGAGGAGGGAGGAGAATAGTGTAGAGGGTTTCAGTCCGGTTTGGCATAATCTATCCTGTAGCTGATTTCTCCCTTTGCTAACTAGCTTTGCTGTCTCACCATTGTACTGATGGGGCTGAAACAGTGTTTGTACATATCTGGTAAGATATGAAGTCATTGTAGGCAGTACGTGCATAGTAATTTACGTGTATATTTATTAGAAAAATTATAACTAGCAGTTTTAACATGTGATTTCCTAGGGTTAAATGCTTACAATGTAGCTAAATGTGAGGAATGTTGTTAAGGTTGAATCAGGTTTAAATTTAAAGAAAATTACTGTGTCATAATAGGACAAGTGATACACATTTAGGGCACTGTTGTGAAAATGACTTACATTGCATTTCATGTTTTATACATTCTCAATATCTCTCTGATTTGGTCTCGGGGGCTGTGATGTGGGAAAGTAGATCATGAGTTTTTGATACCCAGAAAGTACATGTTATATCCTTAGGTTTATTGATCATCTAATGGAGATGTTTGATGAAACACCCTCTTGGGACTTAGAGCAGAAATACTGCCCTGATAATTTAGAGGTAAGAGATTTTATTTGGTTCCTCTTTGGGATTTTTTGAGGGGTGTGAGAGTTTTCATTGCTTTTTTAATAAATCATGGTAAAATATACAGAACATAAAATTTACCATTTTATATTCTATATATTTACCATACCATGTTTAGTTCTTTTTAATTATAGTTATTAAATTATATAATTATAATTGTTATTCATTACAGTTCAGTAGCATTGAGCACATTCACATTATTACGCAGCCATCACGACTGTCCATCTCCATTTTCATCGTCCCAAACTGAAGCTCTGTCCCCATGAAGCAACTCCCCATTTTCCCCTCCCACAACCCTTAGAAACCACCATTTTACTTTCTGTCTCTGTTAACTTGACTACTTCAGGTACCTCATATGAGTGGAATCATGCAATATTTGTCTTTGTGTCTGGCTTATTTTACTTAGCATAATGTTGTCAAGGATCATCCATGTTGTAGCATGTGTCAGAATTTGCTTTCTAGAGCTGAATAACATTCCATTGTTGGGATTAACAAAATAATCACAAATTACAGTGCAAAGAATTTGTCTTCTAACTATTTCAGAATAAGATGCCAACTGATCCCCCATTTCCCCTGAATGCTTCAGTTTCTATTTCCCACAAACAAGGACATATTTTCATCATCCCAGTCAACCACCAAAATCAGAAAATTGACTTCAGTGTACTAGTACAGTGATTTTGAACTGCTGTTCCACAAGAATTTTTAAAACATACAATTCCTGGCTATTTAGCCTGGAGCACAGACCTCTTTTCCCTTATATTGTCAAAGAAAAAAATGACAACTGGCAATACAACAATAGCCATCCAGTGAGAGTCAATCAAAATTATACCTATTTCTTTGTCAGATGGGGGAGATTACACACACACACACACACACACACACACACACACACACACACACACACACACACACACACACACACACGTTTTTTGGTGTGCTGTAGAATTTTAGTAATTAGCTTATGTGTGCCATGAGATTAAAAGGTTGAAGATCGCTGCGCTAATACCATCTAATCCTTGAACTCCCTTCAGTGTTTCAAATTGTCTGATTAATGTTCTTTATAGCAAACAGACCAGTTCAGAGTCACACGCTGTATTTTGTACTTAGTGGTCATGTCCCTGTAGTCTCCTTCAGGCTATTGAGGAGTTTCCCAGTCTTTCCTTGATTTTCTTGATCTTACTACTTTTGAATATTACAGACCAGGTATTTTGTGTCAAGTCCATCAGTGTGGGTGTGTCTTTGTTTTCTCCTGACTAGATGCATATTTGACTGGAATATCACAGAGGTGATGCTCTGTTGCATCCTATCCGTTGCTCTTGATTTCAGTTTGTCCCATTACCGATGACATTCACTTTGATCACCTCATTGAGGTGGAGGGTCCGACAGTCTTTTCTACTGTAAAGTAAATCCTTTTTCCTCTGTAATTAGTAATTTATAGGGAGGTACTTTGAAATAATGGAAATATCCCATTGTTTATCAAACCTTCAACATAATTTTTTATATCAGTGGATTTAGAGTTTCTTATTTTATTCATTGAGTTATAATCGTTTACTGTGGTTAAGTTATACTCAAATTAGCTCAGATTTGGCCAGTGGGAATTCCTTTAAACTTGTTTTTATGTTCCTTTGACTTGTTCCCATTTTTTTAAGCATTTCCTTGTTTTCTGGCACAAGGTGTTCTAGGCTCAAATTGTGCTTTTCTTGTCCCAGTTCTGGAATCAACCATTTTCCCGTAAGGAACCCTGGTTGTTTTTAGTGGAAAAGTGTATTTGGAAGCCAAGATCCGTACAATAGGGATGTGTGTGTGTAAGTGAGAGAGGAGGAGGAAGAGAGAGAACATGAGTATCTTACAGGTATCTTCAATTCTAATCCAACACTGCAGGATCTCTTTTCTTCCTTTCTATATTTGTAATAGTGGCCTCTATTACTCTTCATGTATTTATTCATTTGATCAGTCCCCCTCCTGTCACCGCCATGGTTCCCTCTCCTGTGCAGAGTCTTCCTCACCCTACGTGGACCCTGGACTCCCACATCAGGCTGCTGCCCCAGCGCAGGCGGCCTCCTCATCCTGCATACACACTGTCGAACCCCTCTGCATGAACGTCTTCCTTATCCTGCTTGGGTTCTCACTCTCCATGCCAGCCCGCCCCTGCCATCAGTGGTTGCCTTTCGCACCGTGGTTGGGCCCTGACACCTCATATAGGCTGTCCCTGTGCATGGACACCCTCCTCACCTAGCATGGGCTCTCACACCCACTCTTGACAGCCATCTTACAAGGAAGCCCTTCTCACCCTGCTTAGGCTGCCCAGCCCCCAGCGAGGACCCCCTCCTCCACTGGCTAGGCTCTGACACGCCTTATGCCCTGCTGCCCTCCATTGCAAATGGCTTGCTCACCCTGCCTGGGCTTTGACTCCTCACAGGGCTGTTCCCTGTGTGGACACCCTTTTACCCCTGCTCTGCACTATCCTGGCCTTCTTCCTGCACACCTAATGCCTCTAGGACTGAATTGTTAGAAACGGGATGGCTCGTAGTCCTGGGCTTGAGTCTTGGCTCCTCTGTTTACTGGCTGGGTTTCACTGGTGAGTTATTTCCCTTCTCTGAGCCTTGGTTCTATCTTTGGAAAATGATGCTGATAGTACCTTTCTATTCTTTTTTAAATTTTTAACATGATTATTTATTTATTTTAGAGAGAGGGGAAGGGAGGGAGAAAGAGAGGGAGAGAAACATCAACATGAGAGAGAAACGGTTGTCTCTCGTATGTACTCAAACCAGGAACTGAACCTGCAATCCAGGCATGTACCCCGACCGGGAATCAAACTGGACCTTCACTTTGCGGGATGATGCCCAACCAACTGAGCCACACCAGTCAGGGCTGATAATACCTTTATTAGTACCATGGGGGAGGATTGAGTGCTTTATATTCCACAGCTCTGTACAGGAGGCATTCAGCTAATAACAGTCACCATCTCTGTAACCTTTCCCTAGACTTGGCCTCAACATGCCTGGTGCTGCTGCAGTCCTTCGTTTGTATCTGACTCCCGCTCCTCTCTTAATCTTGCAGGTCTACTTTGAGGATGAGGACAGGGAAGAACTGTACCAGGTGCCTCCCAAGTGTACCCTGCTGCAGGTGCTGCAGCACCCACGGTGAGTCACTTCATGGGCTGAGCAGAACAGGGAACATGCTCACCCACTATGCCAAGGATACAGCCAGGTTCTCGTTCCACTGCCGGTTGTCTCGTACTTCCTGCCTTCTGTCCTGGACACAAAACTGCGAGATGGCAGCCATAGAGACTGGCCTCGCCATATGCCAGACAGGTGGCAGTGTGATGACTGAGCTCATCACGCTGCAACCGTGGCATCCTCAGCCTGGGAGAAGTGAATGGGACTAGTCTGGGGAGGGAAAAGCTGCCTGGCTTTTGTACCTAAAGACAGCCTGGATGGCTCTCCTGCTCCCAGTTGTGCCTTGTCCCCCGATACTGTTACATGGAAAGAGCATTGGCCCTTGAAGTCCTGGCTGTGTGACTCTAAGCACACACTCCCTCTCTGGGGCAAATTCCTCGTCTCTAGAATGAGAATAACAACTGTGGCCCACGTATTTCTCAGGTACTTGAGAGCTGATGAGAGTAGGAGGCAGAGTGCTTTTGTACACTGAAGGGTGGCCTTGTTCTAAGGAGAGCACCTTCGTCTGTAGCAGTGGCAGTCACTTGGATTTGGCAGTTGTTGCTTTCTTTTGCTTTGGGGTGTTTCGGGACTATAAAGGAATGCCCTCAGTAGATGTGTAAGTTGACTCTTGGACACGTTTGCCCTGATCTTTGAGCAAAGCAAATGCTCTTGCATTTAGGCTCAAAGGGCCCATGTGTTAGGGGAACGGCAGCGGTCGGGTGCGGTGGGGAAGGAGGCCGCAGAGCTAGGCTAAGGCTGCGAGGGAAGGCCTTGGATGTTCTGCTGAAGGAGCATGGCCCTTATTCTGATGGCGGTGTGTGGGGCCCCTGAGGGTGTTTGTTTAGGTGAAATTCACACAGTGATGTACAGATTTTAAGGGTACTAGTTGATGGCGGCGCCTGAGATGGGGGTCAGGTTGGAGAGAGGTTTAGGAGGCAGACTGAGTGGGAATTGGTGAGGTGGTGACTGACAGGGCAGGGTGCCCCGCTGGTCTTTAAGCTTCTGTTGGGTTGGCAGGCAGGAGGAGAAGATTGCTTTAAATATGATCAATTACTTTTCTTGGCAGTGTTTTATTTCTGGCTTCAAATCTCCTCTCAATTTTATTGACAATTTTTTAGCTGTTCATTTTCTTAGTTGTTAGTAAATTACTTAGATTCTTTAAAGTCCTGAGGTCTGCCCTCCCCAATCTCCAAAAAAGGAGGAGGTGGGTCTTGAAATCAAAACAGAGTGGACTGATTTGTGGAGCAGAACCAATTTAATGCTTCTCAAAAAATGTAAAAATGCTTTTTAAATGATTGGTATAGGCAAGAGGCTGCCCAGGACAGGTTTCCAGCAACGTCAGATCCTGGACTAGATGGAGCCAAGATTCAGGCTTCTCTGTCCAAATCCAAGCACATTGGGTAATGATAACACCCCTCAGCCTGAGCCAAGGCCTTGCCCTTTTCTCCAACCTGCCCCACTCCATTTGCTTTATGCCCAACAACAGCAAACATCCTGGTGACCTGCACAGCCTGGCTTTACTCACCAGGCCCCGTCATGTCCCACTTTCCACATGAGTCAAGTTCAGACATGACATCCTCCAGGAAGCCTTTCCTGATTCCCCTTTCACATAGAGGGAATCATACCTCTTGGGCTAAGGCTGTACCTCACAAATGCTTCTACAGTTGTGCCTTGCTGTCCTGAATTGATTATGTATCTCCCTCCCTCCAGCACTTGAGAGCTGAGACCATCACTTTTGTTTTTAAAACCGTTTTCAGCACAGTGCCTGGCTTACCCTGTGTATTCACTATTGAATGAATGATTGAAAGCATGTTCTTGTTTAGCCACAGACACTAAGTGTTAGAGGACTGGCCCAAAGATTTTGAGGAGGCAGGGTCATGCTAATCTGCCAGATTTATAAATAACCTTAGAAATAGATATGCTAAACTTGCATTTTAATGTTGATTTACATCCAAAGGTTCACTTTGATTGTTGTTGGGAGGGTCCATGGATGATTAAGATTGCAATTCAATTAACCTCTTTCTTTTGTTGTGTTGACTGCAGGTTCTTTGTAAAAGCCCTGACACCAGCATTTTTGGTCTGTGTGGAATCCTCTCCTTTTTGTAGAAATTATCTCCGGGTGAGAAATATGCAGCAGGTAAAATGATCGAGCCAGGCTGTGGAGCCAGCCCCCCCAGACCTCCCTGACCCTCTACCTGGGACATAGCATACCTGAATCAGCTGGACATGCTCCTAGAATCCAACACGTTTTTCTGTCATTCTGGGGACAGTCCTTCCTCAAATTGTAGGCAGTGAGGAGCTGCTGACTTCTCTGAGCTGCAGCTTCTCTGGTCAAAGTGCTGAGCCTCAGCTGGTCTTCACTCTCCTCTGTTGATAACAAAACTCTGCGCCTTGGTCATGACATTCTTCGACTCACTGTGAGCTGTGTTAATGAGCCTCCATCTCTGAAGGGACCATCTTTTGCAGTTACCACAGCAACTGACCCAAGGAACCCACTGGACTGGCTCAGGATCCAGTGACCTGGTCCTGAACCTTTGTGGAGTTAGAGGCTCTAGGGAAGCTACCCCTCAAACTGCACATACACACAAACCACACATGTAATTTTGAGGCATTGAAGCTGAGACTCCGGCCTCCAGTTATTTCATGAGCACGGAGGGTTGCTCTGGGGATACTGTAGATGCCTTGGGGTGTGATGGGGCCAGGAAAGGCGGGTCCTTTTTCTGTATCTATAAACACCTGCAATCTGGGATCCTCCAGAAGCCCTAAGAGGTTTGCCAATTTTCCTGATCTTTGCAATATGGGGGACTGTGATACACTTGAACAGTGGACTCTGCATTCTTTCCCAGTTTTCACATTTTAGGATTTTTTGCCTTTTAAACTGAAAGATCTTTTTGATTGTTGAATCATTGTCACAGGTTGTACCTAGGTTTTATATGCCTTTACCTGTAGCCACATGACTACTCGCAGTGCCCACCCCATCCCCTGGGGAGGAGTGCGCGTGCCTGAAGAGCCATGGTGTGGAAGGGTCATGTTCTTTTCTCTCTGCCGTGAGAACACATTTCCCAGACGGGGGCTGTTCCTTCAGCCTGGGTGCCAGACTGGTAAGACATGTGGAACAGAGCTACAGGAGCTGCCCTTCAGCCACTGATTGTAATACGAGTGAGAAATAAATGTTTGTTGTAAAAGCACTGATATTTAGGGGTTGTTACTATAACAAAGCTAACTATTGCGTCATTCAACTGAAACCAGCTGCTGTCCGTAAGATGGACTAACGTGGGGTTTTGTGTCGTGTGCTTCCTTGTCTTTGAAGGGCAACTTGCTGTGGCATATTTACAAAGAACCATGCAGCTTGTGGCCAGGAAGCTGAAGTTCAGCCTCCATCCTAAGCTGAGCTGAAGCCACATTGAGACCATTCTCCCTCATTTCCCAGCTAGAGACTCCTGCTTGGTTCTCTTTGTGAACTCAGCACTTTGTGTAAGAGGCCTGACATTCAGTTAGCAACAACCCTACCAGGCATTGCAGGGTTCCCTGTAGCAGCTGCCTCCAGCCACTTCACTGTCTTGGTGCAAAGCAGGTTCCATTGTGCCTCCTTACTCCTCTGTGAAACAGATGGATTGCCCTGTGCCCTCCCAGGACACTGTGAGGCTGAGATGAGATGACAGATGAGAGCAGGTTGTACATTCAAAAATAGATGCACCTGATGGGTCACTGTGTGACCTTTGTCCCTGTCACCTACCCCTTTCGTAAGACTACTGGCAGGCCAGATGATTGACTACTCTCCCTTCCCATCAGTCCCTGTCTGTCCCTCCCGGGAGGGTTGGGGACAGAAATGGAAGAGACATAGGATGGCAAATTGTTAGACCAGAGGTAGGATCCTAGTGACTATTGACTTGCTGTGACTGTAAGGGACTGTACTAGAAGCCTACTTCATCTGTAAAATGTTTCACTGTACCCACCTTTTAGGTGTGTCTGTTGTACTTCTGTGCAGGTACCACATGCAAAGTGCTTAGTCAAGTGCCTGGCACATAATTAGTCAATAACTAGCTCTAACTCAAGCGATCTATATCCAGGCGTACGTCTATGCATACTGGTAACACTAGACCAGTGGTTCTCAACCAGGGTCCTTGCACTGAGGGGACATTTGCCAATGTCTAGAGACATTTTTGATCACAACTTGGTGGGATGCTACTGGCATATAGTGAATTAAAGCCAGGGATGCTGCTAAACATTCTGTAGTGCACAGGATAGCCCCCCTACCCACTCTGCAGTCTCGCCCAAGTTGTCAATACTAGTTTGAGAAATGTTGCACTAAACCTTCCAGGAGGCTAGCTCTGGGCAGGGGCCAGGTGGGGATTTGTCTGAGTATCCAGGCCGGGCACAGAGTGGGAGCTCAGTGAGAGTGAGTGTGCTGATGAGTAAATGGGTGAATGAAAAAAAAATGCGTCAAGTCCTGTTTCGAGGCCCCACTTATGCACACACTAGCATCAGTGGCATTTCCAAGCTCAAGACCAACGTGGCCATATTACACCTCCAGGAAGGCTCCTGGCCTGCCCAGCCCATGGGCTCTGCCATTCTTTTTGGTTCCCAGGAGAGTGGAACAGCACAGATTTAGAAGCAGGCCCACAGACCAGGGGTCTCTGCAGGCCAAACAAAACTGGCATGTGTACACCCCACCCACCCTCAGACCCCACAGGTCAGGGTCAGGACTGGAAGGGTTGGGGTGCAGGTGCAGATACTTCCAGCTGGGCATGTGGGCTAGGCCCTCCCCTGGGACCACCCTTGTCACCTGCTCACGTCTGGGACACTAGCGGAGCTGAGTCAGAGCTCCTGCAAGGACCCAACCCTCCTCCACCTCATTTTACAGATGGGGAAACAAGTCCAGAGAAGAGGAGCAAGGCCAAGGCACCAGCATCCTCAGCACCCATGACTTGAGGCAAAGCTTTTTCACCCCCGAACACATGATGGATGTGGGCCATGAAGTTAAACAAGGCATTGGTGGGACGGGGTCAAGTAGGAGGCCTTTAATCAAAGGCAAGGAGTCTTGAAAAGGCATTTTTCAGGGGCAGTGCATATGCTGGCCTGGCTTAGCTGCCATCTCTGGAGCACTTAGGAAGTGCCAGGCAGTGTTCTAGGTGCTTTATGTGGACTGGTTCACTTAATCCTCCCAACATCTCTAGGTTTTATAGCACCATTTTACTGATGAGAAGGGGCACAAAGGGTAGGTAACTTGTCCAAAGTCAGCTAGCTAGTGAAAAGCATAGCCAGAACTGGAATTCGGGACTCCCCTAAACCCTTCAGGAGACACTAATAGTAATGAGACTAGCCCCTGCCTTCAAGGAGTTGGCAATAGATCCAGCGGCCCTTGCCTACTCCAAGGTTATGGTAAAGTCTTGACATTCAGTCATGTAATGTCCCGAACTTGTTGCCTGGGTAGAAGAATCCAGTCTGAAAAAGCCCCTACCAGAGCCCACAGTGGAACCCCCATGGCACCCAACACCCTACCAATGGGGTTCCTGTCTGCCCATGAGCTTTCTAGGTGAGCCTGGTCAACAAGTTCTACCCTTGCAAATGGGGCATCCTCAGTTAGCATTAACTGGCTAGTGCCTCCTCCTCACTCTCCTGGTCCTACAGTTTTAATTAGCCAAGGGCAATTAAGCTTTCACCATGGAAGCTCACAGCAGCCTTGAGAGCTGCTGGTTTAACAGGAGTGGACACCATGCCTGCACTAAAGTGGTGACAATGTGCTGGCCCACGTGCACCACCCATCCACCTACTGTGGGCCGGGCTACTGTGAACAAGGGCAGCTGCCGCTTACCAAGTACATGCTATGAGCTAGGCACTATTATCTGCACTTTACTGACCAGGAAGGGCTGGGAGTATGCGCACGTATACTTGCACAAGGTCACACAACTAGTGGCCCAGGAAGTCTTGACTTGAGCCTCTAGTCTGCGTCACTAATATATAAGCCATTATTTTCAACTAAGAACCTTAATTTTTTTCAAATGTTCCCTAAGTTTGCAATTACATCATAAAAAGACTCTCCCATTTTCTACAGTATAGAAAACTATGCACAATTATGAAGATTTTTCCTAACTCTGAAACAAAGCTTTACATGCTGTTGGATGTGTCACAATCCACTCTAAAAAGCATTCTGCTGCCTTGGTGTGGAAATGGAGTGGGACCTCTGTGAAGAGGCCTGGCACTCAGGTAGTTAAGAAAATGACAATTTCAACAGATTTCTGCAAGCTTCTTTATGGATAGCCCAGCAGGTGTTTCTTCCATTAAAACACAGAATATTAATGGAGCCCTTGATTTGCATCCTAAGCTTGATTTATATGATGGTTTTGTTATGCATGAGCCTTTGTCCCCAAGTATTAATTCTGCTAAATATTTCCCAGCAAGTTGCTTCTAGATCTCCCCAAGGAATGAACAATGATAATAAAGCCTGTACCTGTTATTTTGCAAGCATTTCCATTTCATCAATTTATGGCAAGTGGTAACACTGGCAAATTCAGGAAGGAGAAAGGTACACAATGTGAATATCTCCATCTTTTCCTCTAAGGAGACGGAGCCATTCCATAGGCATTACTTAGTTCTTGTTGGTGGCATTCCCAAGAAGGCTGTAAAGCATCACAAGAAAACAAGATCCAGGTCTGGAGATAAAGTTAACGGCAGCACCTGAGCTCCCACTGGGGGCATTCCCTAAATCACCTGGTATGAGGGAAGTGTTTCTTGAGAGCATACTAAGGGTTAAGCATTTCACATAAGCAAGCTCAGCCAGCCTCCAGACAACACTGGGGGGTGGGTACCATAAACATGAGGGCATCTTACAGATAAAGAATCTGAAATACACAAAGGGCAAGTAATTTGTCTGAGGTCCTGGAGGTGAATCTAGGATTATGTCTCTTCTGATCTTTCAACCAAATTAAACTGCCTCTGGTTACCAGAAGAAACACTGGCTTAGTAAGGACACCTAGGTTTCAGTTCAACTTGACCTTGGGCAAATCACCACACTCCCTGTTATTTGCCTTGGAAAGTACCTGTTTCATATACAAGGCTTTTGTAGCTCAAAGGTTGATCCAGCCAGTCCTCTTAATACAGTAAGATCAACTGGAAGTAGGCTAATTCAGGGGATGTGGCACCTAGCCTACAATCAGGCCTTTTGCCAGTCAGATGGGGTATGGCCGGTGAATGCCCATGGCAGGCCTGTTTCCCATCTGTTGAAGTGAAGGCTGGACAGGCAGACTCCACGAACTACTCCTGCTCTAAAGTTCCATAATTCTACATCATTCTCCAATTATTCTGTAATTCACACATTTGTTAAAAATTGTTAAAAGTGCTAGCCTTCCATACATGATTATAGAGCACATTTTTAAGTATATATGCACCCATTTGCATGAATTCTAATTTCTCACCTATTTTAGACAGATTTGATGAGATAGACATAAATGTTTTATTTACTGAAATCACTTTTGTGCAGAGGCCAAGCGGTATGGTGGGGAGGGCAGGTGTTGGTCAATACTTCCATTCTAGCTCTGATACTTTAGAGCTGTGCATCCTTGAGTAAGTTGCTTAAACTTCAGTTTTGCTCATTGGTAAACTGAGAGTAGCAGCACCTCCCCTGCACAGTTTCAAGGTCTAAAACACGGTGTATAAAAGGGCCTCACTGCATAGTGGCACATGGCGAGCCCCCAACAAATAAATGACCAGACTGTTAAAAGCAGAGAGCTCGTATCAGTCTGATAATGTACAAATGAAATTACTTAAACGCTCAGCTAAAAGGTGGGCGCAGAGAAGGCGGCTACCTGCACACAAGGAACTGAGTGGACTTTGCATGTTAGAATCATCCAGGGGCTTTGACACCTGGCCACACCCCAGCCCATTAGCAAAACCTCTCTGGGTGGGACCCGGGTGGCTCCAACGTGCAGCCACGGCTAAACTCCCTGCCTCACAATCCAGCCTTTCCAGGTAGGCTGTCAGAATCCGCACCTCCTGGCCTGAATGCTGGGCCTGAGCTCCAGCGGTGGGCCTAGGAGTCATCAGGGCTTCACATGAGCAGTTAAATTAGGGAACCCGATAGTGTGTGTTTGGGGTGGGGTTACTCTAGCAGTAACAAGCTGCTGGGAAGCTGTGTGGCAGGTGGAACAACTGGCCAAGACCAGAACTGCAGTGTACTTGGAATGTGCCTAGGACCC